CAAATCGTTTCATTTTTGAAAACCCTTTTTGGTAAGGCATCTGTTATTAAAAAGAAATAAAAATGTTTCAGTTTATATTTTTAACGGTGAATTTTTGTATGTTTTACCCAAAAGAGCTTTCAAACAGTGTTTTCAATAGTTTTTCACTAATTTTGTTAAGTATTCAGAACTTTTGACAATGCAGACAAGAATGCCAATGGCAATGGCGATTTTTTCAGTCAAAAACATTATGCAATCATTAAAAGGTGGCTTTTGGCTCTGTTTGACCCAACATAAGTTTACAAATCGGATAAATAAATGCATCCACAGGTCTATATTTGCTATAAATATGTGCAATACAAACCCTGAACTTTATTTAAACTATACTTCCAGGGTTCGAAGTACTATAAAAAATAATATGCAAGCATTCAAAGGAGGTTTTGGGCTTTGTTTGACCCAATATAAGTTGAAGAACCGTATAAGTACATCCACATGTCTATTTTTGTTCAAAATATGTAAATTACTAACCCTGAACTTTATTTAAACTATAGTTACAGGGTTCGAATTGGGGACAACAGAAATGGCCATCTTCTAGTTGGCGCAAAAGTAGCAGCGTAAAAAAGGCTTGTTTTCACCAAATTGGCGAATCACATAGATTTTTTGATCCGCTAAAAGCACTAACAGTGCATTTAAGATGATAAATGTATGATGTAGCAGACGAGTGATAGCTTTATCTTCAAGCTCCAGGGTTTGAAGTGAGTACAAACCTTGACAACAACAATGGCGACTTTTTTACAGTCAAAAACATTATGCAAGCATTCAAAGGAGGTTTTTGGCTTTGTTTGACCCAATATAAGTTTAAAAACCGGATAAGTGTATCCACTGATATATTTTTGTTCAAAATATATAAATTATAAACCATGAACTTTATTTAAAATATAGTTAAGGGTTCAAAGTGGGGACAACAGAAATGGCCATCTTCTAGTTGGCGCAAAAGTAGCAGCGTGAAAAAGGCTTGTTTTTACCAAATTGGTGAATCGCAAAGATTTTTTGATCCGCTAAAAGCACTAACAGTGCATTTAAGATGATAAATGTATGATGTAGCAGACAAGTGATAGCTTTATCTTCAAGTTCCAGGGTTTGAAAGATATGTACTCTCGTACAGATTTTTTTTGTGCGCCATTTCGATGTAAAGGTTCTGGCAAAACTTAAAATTTGATTACTATTCATCATCAAGATAACAAATTAAATCATACATACCTTGACGTATATATTCTTTTTACACCGATGTAAAAAAAATCAAAATTCGAAAAGTACAAAACAGCAAAAAAAAATATATATATAAAACAAGATTTACGGGTTTTTTTGTTCAGATTAAGGCAGAAGAAGAATTTTTTGATTTCCTGGAAAGATTCAAGTGCCGAGCTGTGGTAAAGAAGGAAAACATTACCACCATAATGATCGAGATTGGTCAACAGGAGTTGATGCAGAAACCCCATCTGATGGTGGCAACATGGCAGCCAGTCCTGCAAACACTGAAGAAATATCCACCCTTCCAAACCTTGTCTGCTCTTGAAGTCTCTTACGAAGACACAAAACCCACAACAAAGAAGATCTTACAGCTGTTAGATGCAAATCCAAATTCAGATGCTGAGAGAGATGCATTTCGATTTTTACAGCGATATATCAGAGGCTTGGACAACAGTCAACCTTTACAGTTTCTTAGGTTCACTACTTCACTTAGCTTCTGATATTTTGATCAGTGGCAAAGTTCAGGTTACATTCCTGAGGTCTGAATGTTTTGGTAGAAGACCAATTGCACATATGTGTGGACCTGTGTTGGAACTACCGTCAACCTACAGCAGTTATTGTGAATTTAGAGAGGAATTCAATACCATTCTTGACCAAAGGTAACTGGGAGATTGGCATTGTGTGACATTTACATTGTTAGAAGGTGTTCAATTTAACATTGCTGGTGAACTTTTTTTAAAGAGTTGTTTTTTTGTTAAGAAGTAGTTTAAATAGGTCAATTTCTAATTGCTTTTAAAGTTCATGCACATCATTCTGGTTACTTAAAATAAGTCTAATGTGAAAGTTTCAAGTACTAGTGAAAACATGAGCAGCCGATCTTTATTAGCCTAATCTTTATCTGATATACAAACTCAAGCCAAAGGTGAGAGTTTGTATATCAGATAAAGATCGGCTGCAAATGTTTTAACATGCTTAAAAACGACCCATCTTATCAGTTCATTGTCGAAATAATTTTAAAAATAAACATTGTCTAAGCCAGAAAATCAAAGCTGAAGGTTATGTAAATCAGGACAAATCATCAAAACCTTTTTCCAAACCAGAAGTTTGCAAAGAACTTGTGAGACATTTAGGGGATGTTCCCTGACCGGCAACTGCCTGCACTTAAAACAATTTGGGCGAATGTGAGAAAGTTTTTCCAACAAGGCACAACCTTAAATCAAAACAAGGGAAATTCAGGCAGAAGTCGCACTGAGGCAGCATTGAAGCCAACATTGAGGCAGAAAGAGAGCAACTGGCTGAGCATCCCACAGGTACCAGCGCAAGACGGAATGGTGTGGGCCTACCATCTGCTACTTTTAATAGGATAACAAGGCTAGATCTAAACATGCACCCTTACCACATGCACATCTGTCACCAACTCCTTCCTCAAGACTATGCTCGGCGAATGCAGTTTGTGCAATGGCTGGGTGACCATTACGAGAGAAACAAGGATTTCCTTTGACCATTCGTTATTGGAGATGAAGCTGCATTTGCCATGAATGGCCAAGTAAACACCCACAACATTAGAGAGTATGCAGTCGCAGGACAACCGCCCGAGTTCAACTATGAGGTCAACATCAATTGAGAAAAATTGACGGCTTGGATTGGGCTTTGTGGCAGCAGCCACATAATTGGTCCATTTTTCTTTGAAAGAAATGTCACTCGACAAATTTATCTCCAAATGATAAACAACGACGTTGTGCCACAACTTCAGCTACATTTTCAGATTCAAATTGAGGGGATTCAGAAATCTCTGGTGGGTGCAAGACGGTGCTCCAGCACATTGTTTAATTGCGGTCTGTGATCGGTTAAGAGAACTGTTTGGTCATCGTGTGGATTGCCCTCTATCATGATGTGGAATGGCCCCCAAGATCCCCTGACCTTACTCCTTGCAATTTCTTTCTTTGGGGTTAGCTAAAGAATAAAGTGTAAACAAACCCCGCTACATGATCTGAATGATTTGCAGAACCGCATTCAACATGAAGTTGAAGCTTTGAGAAATAATCCCGCGCTAATCAGAAGAACATTCCAAGCAATGTGGCGGCGATGTCATCTTTGTATCGATAGAGATGGTGGTCATGTTGAAGGCATCGGTGCATAAACTCTTTAAAGTTTAAATGTAAATTAAAGTTTAAATGTAAATAATTTTCAATAAATATGTTGTAAAACCAGATGCAAGCTGACATGTTTGTGATTAATTGTTTTTTCTTTTGTTATGCATTAATTTATATTAGTTTAACCATTCAATCTCTTCTAATAGTAGAATGTACAAGTTTAAAGCTGAGATTGCAAGCCCATGTCCATTCATCACCACATCAAGCAAACTCTCTAAATTCTTCACTGGTATCTTGCACAACCATAGCTGCATGGTTGTCAAACTCATCGATATCTTGCCTGTCTACCTCCACTTTATAATCTTCTGTTTCATAAAGATGAGGTAAGAAATACATGTTGTCAGGTCTTCCTCTCGGACCATTATTAAATTTGCTTGACAAAGTTATGTGTTGGTTCCAGGACTAAGCAACTTGATTAAGTTCTTCTCATAGAACACTCATGAAACAAAATTGTATACAGTCTACTTGTACCGGATCAGCATTGTTAAATAATCCCAGATCTCGCTGCTCTTTAAAGAAGTTTTGTCACCAACCAGGACCTTCTTTCACTAGATGCAACCAGGCGTGTAGCCAGCCCCATACGAATGGGGGGGGGGTCTAAAGTGTCAAAGACATAAAAGTACTGTTCTAAAAAGCCCCAGAAAATTTTTCAAGTTTTAGGTTAGAGAAATGCTCCCACATGCATATTTGGCATGGTGTTTTGGTGATCTATATGCCACACATTTGGTCTATTTTATGCCAAAGATGAAATATTTACGAGATTAACAAAGCATATTTGTAATAAACTAATAACATAACATAACATGTCAAATTAATAATAGATAAAGAAAGTTTTATGAACTTGTTATTAAGTTGATAAATGCTTTAATGCATTTTAAAATAACTTTCCTTTTAAAACGATACACATATTATGCAACATTTACATGAACGCGGGAATCTAATTTATGTTCCGTTTTCATATAACTTTGCATCTAACTTTCAGATTACAAGAATATATTATAGTGGAAGTTTTCTATATAGGCTTCAAAGAGAATGCAACTTAATATCTTCGGCTACATCTCTTTCGCTACTAGCAAGAACCAAGCTCTCCAGTCGATCTTCATCCATGGTTGCTCTCATGTAATTGTTGATGATTTTAACTTTGCTGTGGCATCTTTCGCTAGAAGCTATTGTAACTGGAGTTGTGGATGCAATACAAATGATTCTGTGAAGGTTTCGGTAAAGGCCAGCGTAATCACTTTCACCAAACTTCTTAATATTAATGGAAGGTAAGGGTTTTTCCACCCCTGTTTCTTGTGTTCTTCCATCTCCTGCAACAAACTGCGAAAGCATCCGGACTCCCAGAACAAGGAATATTCCCGACAGTTTGCTTTCTCTGGGATTTTGTACCTTCTTGCCTTTTCTATATTAATTATTACCTCTGCACCTTTTCTATATTAATTATCATTACTCCAACGAGCTGGATTGAGAATTGTACCAATACTTCACAAGATTTTAATGAAAATCGCCTCTTTAGCTCCCTCAGCAGCAAATCAAGCAGACAATAGTAAAAATCAGTGCGAAATTTACTTTCTGCTGACACTGTTGTGCTGTTTTGAGTTGTAGACACAACAGGGTGACTTAATGATGCATCAAGCAATGTTTGTCCATCAGCTAGACTTGGAAGCATTCTACGTCGTTTGTTGCTGGGATCTCTAAACAAATCTTCAATGTGAAATTCGACTGCTTTGAATTCAGCAGTGCACACAAACTCGACAAATTTTTCCTCATTCCGGAAAGAAGAAAATTTAGCGATTAGCGAAGTTGCCATGTCAACAGCGGTTACTAAGTCCATTTCTTCTCTTTGAAGATATTCTGAAGCGTTGCATCAAACTAAACTGTACATACAACATACTGGATAGCCTGTGAACGCAAATACGCAATTATTTCAATTTAATGACGACAGTTGATTTCTTTAAAAATATTCACAACTTGCCCCCCCACTAGTTTCTTCTCACTTTTGAATGAATTACAATACTGACCTTTACAAAAAGTGACTACGCGCATGGATGCGACCAGTATGCTTCAATACGCTGATTAGATGTAGATGACCCAATAAGAAAGCCGGCAAGCCCAGCGTGTTCATCATTGTCACTTGAACGAAGGAATGTGTGTATAGCTTCGATCACGCAATTTTCTGTTCCATCATCAGATCTTATTTTCCTAAGGACCCACCAACTTGTCTGATTGAGTCTAGATAATATTTGGCAACTAACTCCTTTGTTTGTTGGTCGTACTTCCAACCAAATTAGCCTTCTTGAGTAACCATCAATGTAGCCATGAATTGCTGAACCCATATGGCTTCAGTTTGTCATGACTGTCTATGTGCCATATAAAATTTGGGCCATTACATGCATACACTCTTTTGCGTAGCCTTTTTTCCCTGAGTTTCCACACCAACTGGATGGAGCTCCACTAATAATATTCTTACTGTTTCCCGCTTCACTATAAGCCCTTTGTGTATCAGTCTCCACCACATTTTTCGAAAACCAATAAAACAGCCACTACCTGCCAGTTCTTCTTCAATAGTTCTTCTTCGTAGGTCTTCATCTACGAAGGTGTATCGATGCCAATATCCGCTTTAGCGTTGATAAACTAATATCAATGCCATGAAGTCTTAAATACTCCAATATTTCTGGATTTGTGTATCCTTGGTTGAAATATGTTTTTATAAGTTCCTCTTCTTCATATTGATTTCCCAAGTTCATGCAAGGTGTATAATAATTTGTTAACAGCATCTTTATATGAGATTAATAACTAAGTAGTATGTTCTTAGTACGTTGTCGTTGTCTTTTTGAAAAGATCTTTTAAAACTTGTCCTTGAATTGATAGCCTGTTCGATAATGGCGGGAATTTGAAAACGAAGCAAATTATCAAAAGGAACTATAGGCACTAGAAAGAAGTTTACTGGACTGTGTAAAAAAATTTTTACTGGACTGTGTTAAAAAAATTGTACTGGCCTGTCAAGAAATTTTACAGGACTACCAGGACTGCAAGAAAATGTAACAGGACTGTGAGCCTTCTGGGCCATCGTAGAAATATATATTATTTCTTTGGTATTGTAGTGTGGCTCAAAAGCTACTTAATGCTTTACATATCTATATGCCATTTACAACAGAGGAAAGTCTGTGTCATAACAGTCAACAGATGACCCCCCCCCCCTGACCAGTACCACAGTATAGTTTTACAGGATATTCACCCGGTTTAATATTCAGTTCAATGAATAGAGTTTGAGTCAAGCATGTCCTGTGACCTGTGCAAAGATTATCCAGTTTACAGACAACCTGGTTGATCAGACTAACCGAGTGGATCACACACTGAATACATGGCCAGGTCATGGAGTGGATCACAGGACACTGAATACAGGACCTCCAAAAAATCTCAGCATGCTAAAATAAGATCCCTACAAGCAATAATTATTGCTTGCTCAACTGAAAGGTGATCAATTTGTCATGTTAAATAGATTTCTGGATCAAAGTAAAGATACCCAAGGTCATCTATGTATCACTTCATCAGATTAGTACACCCCACTTACTAATAACGAGTGTATGTTCAAGCTGAGGGTCTGCTCCAAGTGCAAGTTGCCTCTTATTGTCAATGATTAATTGTTCAAACAAGAACTGCATGTGTCTGCCTGCAATGTTGTAGCTGTGTGACAACAGCTATGTGTAGCTAAAACATCAATCTTTTGGTGTTAAATATCTTTACAAACAACTTAAAATATGTTAGGTAAACACATATTCTTCCAATCCAACAAAAAGGTTCAGCTAAACGAAGGCATATAAAAATACTATAAACCTAAATTTCATGTTGTGATCAGCAATTAAATATTAACTGATCAAGCAGTTCACTACTTCTTGAGATCTTGAGAAATTTTTACAAAATTATGATAAAATATCATATGCAATCAAGAGAACACATTCACTATTAAATATTCTTGATATAACTAGAGACAATTTATTCAGATTGATGATATCCAGGCTTAGAAATTTGTTCAAATTACAGATGTGAGTTTTCGGACTGAAAAATTCGAACAAAATCATGACAAAAGTTGTCTATTTCACAAAGCAAAAAATGGCTTTTATAAATTCATACAATCCAAATAAACTAGCAATCCAGTACAAAAAACTATCAGTAATACCATAAACTGGGGTAACTTTGAATGTAGGGTGACTTTGGTCACTTTATAATTTTTTTATTTAATGCCAGATGTATTTGTTTTGAGAAACTATGATTGTAAATATTTGTTCTTTTTTTAAAGCATGACTTGTTTTCAACTTATTTTAAATGTTATTGTTAGCATTCTTACAATATATCCACAGTACGTGATCTATGAACACAATCAGTTCAATCGACTGGGGATACCCTAATTGAAACTCTGAATTTCAATCTTGAATAAATCAATTTGAATAATTTTAAATATACCAGAAATATAGAATGTAAATTGAATTAAATATAAATAAATGCTGTTCGGTGGGCACTTTGTTGTTTAGCGAGAAAAGTAGGTGGTCAAAGTCACCCCACAAATTTTGTACCTTTTGGGGTGAATTTGACCACATAAAAGTATTTTTAATTACTGGCAGCCGCCATATTGAAATTTCTCATGATGCATTTGGTAAAAGCATGTGTTTGACTCTACCTCTTTTTGAAAAAAACTACCTGGAAGGTTGACGTGGAGAAAAATCAAGGTACGGAAATAATAATTTCAGGTACTTGTAATTTTTAGATTTCGCTATAGTTCTTTCTTATCAACAATAAATATGAAAGACTTTGTTTTTTTGTATGTTTAAATCATTTTGGCACCGTTTGGTATGCTTTTTTGAGTTTCTTTGTTGTTGAAAATGTGTTTTTTTTTAAAGTGGTCAATTTCACCCCACAGTCCCTCAGCAGTTTTTACTTGTGTGGTGACTTTGACCACCTAAGTTAAATCCAACTTTAAGAACAAAGATACTTTCTATATTGTTTCATGTGAAGTTAACTTTTACTTTTATTGTGTTCTTCAGTAATTTTAGCTAGAACTTCTATTTTAGATGCCTCAAAAATATATTCCAAGGCAAAGAGGTAAACGAACGTATCAAGCATATTCTGCTCAAGATCTGGGAACTTCTTTGGAAGATGCCACTAGTGGAAAACTATCTATTTGAAAAGCAGCAGCTCTTTATAATATCCCTCGCACAACCATAAAAAACAAAATAGAAGGCAAGCATGGAAAATCAATTGGTGGTCAAACTATATTTACCCATGAAGAAGAAGAGATCTTTGTTTCCTGAGTAATGGCCATGTGCAAATGGGGGTTCCCCTTGGACAAGATTGATTTACGAATGATGGTAGCTGCATATCTTACCAAGCAAAAGAGGGTCATACATCAATTCAAGAATAATATACCAGGAGACGACTGGGCTAGTAACTTCATGAAAAGATGGAAACTGACGCATAGAGTTGCAACAAACATACGACGGAAAAGAGTGAAACTGGCAAGGACAGAACTTGAAACCTATTTCAACAACATCAAGGAGGTGGAAGGAGTTCCTGCAACAAACATTTGGAACTACGATGAGCACAACATCGCATTTATATGCCTATTTCCTAATGGTACACATCTATTGCAGCCACTGGATGTGGCTTACTTTGCTCCACTGAAGAAAGCATGGAGAGCATTGCTGTTTGATTGGAGAAAAACGGCTATTGGACATCAATATGGCACTTTAGCAAAAGAACAGTTTGCAGGGCTGCTGAGAAAGCTAATTAAGAAGTTAAGCGAAGGCAATAGCAAGCAGAATTTGGTTAACCGCTTTAAGGCTTGCGGAATTCACCCATTCAACCCAGAGGAGGTTTATCGCAAACTGCCAAGTGAAAACAACATGAGTCCTAGTAAAGCACTTGATCAAAGTCTATTGGACACACTTGCCAATATGCAAGGTGAAGATGCAGAGACATGTCCAACCAGGCAAGTCCATATCAGAAAACCTTTCCTCTGAAAGTGATGAATCTGATGAAGAAAGGGAAGAGGACTGCAAAACAGAAGAAGAATCTGAGTCCCAGCCTGAAACAGATGAAGAAACCCAGTCGGAGGGCGAGTCTGATACTGATACTCCAACCAAGTCAATTTCGCAAAAGGAAAAGTTATTACAAACATTGTCGGAGGTGAACAAGTCACTGGATGATTACAAGAAAGGTCGCCTGTATGCTGTGTACTATGGTCAAAAATATTATTGAGGCAAGATGCAACTATGTTTTGCCGATGATCCAGATGAAGATGTCAAATGTGTTGAATTTAGTTTTTTGCGCTACCGAGGAGATGGTTACTGGGATTTTCCAAAAACGTTGGATGTAGAGATCGTGGAAGCAAAGTATGTTTTCTATGGTCCATGTACCCCTGAAACGATTGCAGGGAAAGGCTACAAAATTGTCGATGATGAAGCTGCCCAGGGCCGGTACAAACTGATGGAACAGCATGACATTTATGGCAGTATATAACATTTATTTGGAACGTATTAATGTTCTCTCAGTTTGCCATTTTTAAGAAATGACTTACATTTTAGACTGTGTAACTGTTGCAGAGAGAGAGAGTTGTGCATGTTTGCAAATTATGGCAATTTATATGTGTTAAACAGTTTTAACATATTTATCCTTGCAAGCCAATAGATATTATTGCTTATAAATGTTTGTAAATTAGATTTTATGGATGGAAAAGTACAAATTACTCTTTTCTTTGATGTGAAGGTTATAGATTTGGTAATACATGCTTATGGGTGAGATTAAAGTAAGGGGTTACTGAGAGGTGGTCAAAGTGTCCCCAGGCCTGTGTGACTTTGACCATCACAACACAATGTCACTACTGCAACAGACAAGAAAATACTTATTACTGTATTGACCAACAATCACTTACACAATACAAATGTTTTTCACATATTTTTCAAACTACAAAATCAATGACGCATATACAATGTGTTAGAAAATGTAACTGACGAGTTTTCTTAGCCATTATTGCACAAAACTTCATGAAATTTAATCTTTTTGTAGTTTAAAGTTCCTTAGTTGTTTCCCTGCAGACAAAAGTTATCAATGGATGTGAAAAGTTGTTAAAATCCATCATTGTATCATTTCGTTCGAAAGCAACCTACAGCCTCCTACCTTCATGTTTAGCGGCCATTGCTATTATGCAAGTGGTCATTTACTGCCCACCACATGAAACCTGCCAATATGGTTAGTCTTTGCAGCTTGGTTTGATTTATTTTTTGCCCAGTCGCCCGACATAATATTGACTGTTGAAAAACTTGAGTTTTGAACATTTCTGACCTGTTTCAATTCTATATGAAATACATTCTTGTCCATGATTCTGTATATCAACATTTTGGATTATAATATAAATTATATTTTAAAAGTTACCTCATTCTTAATGGCAAGAAACTGATTTTCAGCATGAAGTGTTCCAACCTGCTCATCACCTCATGAACGTCCACGCCAAGATAAAAAGCTAGGCATTGGTAGAAACAATGATTTTTCCTGCCGAAGGATCGCAAAACCATGTCAAGCTTATAAGCTTTGTTTATAACACTTCTAGCTTCAACAGTACTCATCTTGACAGAAAAAGCAAACAAAACACATTGCAAGTAAAACAGGATCTTCTAGCTTCAACAGTACTCATCTTGACAGAAAAAGCAAACAAAACACATTGCAAGTAAAACAGGATGCTGCATTTATATAGCAAAACAATTCTAAATTAACAAAAAAAATTGTAACTGCAAACCATATGTGGTAGTTACTTTTCTTACCTTTAATAACGAAATAACTTGCCGGTTGAAAGACTTGAAACAGAGTTGAAAAATGAATCAATAACAAGCAAAGGCAAATCTGTCGAACAAATCACGACACATAAATCACATGAAGTTGTAAACAAATGCAGATGATTGCCACATGTGCGTAAAAATGTACAACTTATAACAAACCTGCAGTAGACTTGTATCAAATTGATGCAACTCAACTTTAGTCTGCTGCAGGTTTGTTACAAGTTGTGCATTGTAGTATTGATACAAGTCTACTGTAGGTTTGTTTATAAGTTTGTTACAAGTCTGTTAAGTTCAACAACCTTGTAGCACCAAGGTGGGAACAAGCAATGCAAACACATCCTGATAACAAGTTGTTGAAACGGCATTGATACTACGTATCATTGCCATTTCAACAACTTGTTGACAAGCTTACTACAAGGCTGTTGTGAACACATCTTGTTGACAAGATGTGAGATTTAAAAAAATATTATTTAATTATATTTTTATTTTGTTTGATGAAAATGGAATATTCTGTATTCAAAGTGGAAGAGAAGAAAGATGGCCGCTGGAGCAAATTTGTTTGGCATGGGCAGGTTTATATAAATCTTGGCAATGTTTTCACACAATGTGTGCATTTTCGCTTTTCAAGAATATGCGAATATTTTAGAAACATCCATATTAAATAAGGGAATATTGGGAAACTTCCGGCCACTCCCGGACTCACCTCCCTGCAAGTATGTCTGTTCAATATAACGCCGCCTACTAGGACTGAGTGCCCATAGGGAATCAGGGATAGAATGATCTTGCAAATCGTGCATCTGGTTTAAAAGCTACATTTGCCTGAATAGTCTCCATAATCCTGAAAACATCCTGATTTATCAGACTTTTGTGACTTTATTCTCGCCACCATATAGATAATCTTTAACTCATTCTCGACATGCGACCTTTTTACGACAAGCAACATTTTGATTCAATTATTTTATAACATAAATATTTCAGCGCTTATTCACCCCTCTTTAAAACAAAGAACACCATTGAAATCCTAACAAAATAACCTTTCCATCGGGGGGTTCAATGTCGTCAAAACAAATACACAAACCGAAACAATCATATATTTACTCACCGCTTGGCCAAACATTCTGTATTTTGATGTGGAGAAAAAGTTGAAGATCTTCTAAACTCTTCAGAATTTGCCAGAAGTGCTTTTATGTGGAAAGCGCTTTTATGTAGATACAGCGAGTAGAAATGTTTATTTTGAATTTTTCAAAATATTGTGGTTTTACTTGCACGCATGTGGTGCACGTAAAAATGGCCAATAAGGAGTACCCGTAGCCCAATGCACATGAAAATCATGCTGCATATGTAATTTGACCAATTTCCGACGTTTTCTGAGCGCTAGGATGTAAACACGCGATTGGCAAATCTAAAGTGTATTTCCGGTCAAAAATATCCCACTGACTTCACTAATATCACAACAGATTGAAATACCGAAATAAAAGACGAAAAACTAAGGCTACAAGCTTGAAAATAACACTTTAGATAGTATTTTGGATTCTGATTCGAATAAAACTATAGCGAAAACCTAAATCTCGAAAGGGGCCGAAGTTATGTTCGGTGAAAGGTATGGATAGTTTACATTGTTCGAGACAATTGATTAGTATAATGAAATATGACACTGCATGACCTCCCAAAAGGTCATAAATAGTTATACAATTTCACTAAAGCTATATTTGACTAAAACATAGCATGCACCAAACCGAAGATATGAATCGGCGAAGTCATAGACCGTGCCATAGACCGTGCACGTTCTACGTTTATAGGGGCCTGCTGAGAAAGTGAATTATTTGTAGATTTAAACGAACTATGCTTTGGTCAAAATTTTAGTCAAAATCGGTTGCGAAAAGCCACTGTGTATTACTATAAAAAAATAAAGTTTAGTGCGACGAGAAGAGAACAGCTGATGTTTCATGCAAAAAATCTGCCCTGGAAAGAATGCCTATAGGGATATATACATTTGAGCGTATGTTTTGCTAGTCTTGTTAAAGATAAAAGAAAGGGATAAATGCCATATTTGCAACGCCAACTCCACTCTTACTTATTTGGCATGGTTGCCATGTTTATTTTGTTTTGATTCAATATGTGATGGTGTGACTGTTACTTGATGACTGCTTCAAGCGGATTGGTTGATTTTAAATCCCATTGTTTTTTCCACCAATCAGATTAGTTTGTTACAGATTTTTGCATTGTTGTTACAGAATTTTGCGCTGCTGTTTAAGATTAATTGCACTGAAATCAACCAATCACAGTTGAGTAAAGATTTTAATGTATATTATTAGATTGCTATGTACCTATTAATTACTTTATCAATAGAATCGAAAAAGGTTCAGTTTCTGGTTGAGAAAAACAAAGCTTTTTCTGAAGCATGGAGAAGTATGAATGAAGAAAGGAAAGCAGAGTACAATGCAAGAGCAAAAATGACGAAGCTGGAAAAGTTTCTTTGTTGCAGTCAAAGAAGGAGCTGGTTAACATATTGTGATTAAAACAGTTGAACCTACAGTACCTTATTCAGACATCGATCTTCAAATGAAGTTAACTGTTAAGTGACAGTGATCCTTTGCATGCTTGTGTTTACATTCGGCTGTATATCATGAATATACTTTCATTACAAACATTTTGCTTAAAAAAACACAAAGATATAATGACTCGCTTCGTTTCAAGAAGTAAAATTGTTTTTCAATAGAATTCCGATATATATGGGTCAATACAAATTAAATCTTGCAGATCACTCGTAAATAACTCAGCCATTTTCTGGGCCGCCAATTGCCCAGAGGGTCACTGGCATGATACTTGCTCTTTAAGGCCAAAGCCTGCCTTTATGTGGCCCAGTATTATATATTATAGTAAAAATATATAAACCATATATTTTAAAATGAGATATTACTTGCCTATTTGATAGTGTGTGTTCTCCTTTTATTCCTCTTTTGATGGGGCTAATATTTTCTGTGATTTTACACTCATTGGTTGTGGCTGCCACTTGTAATATATTACTGTATATGTATGCAAGTAGTAGGGTTGGGTGGTTTATCGATAAAACCGAAAGATTTTAAAACCCGAATCAATCAATTTTTCTTTTGACAAAAAAAAACGGAGAAAAAAACCCCGAACAAAAATCGGGAAAATAGTTGAAACTTGCAGAAACAGTGCACAAAGAATAGTAGGCGGATCATAAATGGATCACGCGCATGAATAATTCGGAAGGCGGATGTCTGCGAAGACAGAGTTGATGTGTAGGACTCATTGTGAAAATATGTGGAGCTTAACATATAAATACCACTGTTCTTGGTAGGGTATTCTACAAGTCATTCAACAGCGTTAACATGAGTAGAAGTTCAGTTTGGAATTTTTTAAGAAGCCTGAAACAGGGCAGGATTCTGCAAAGTGCAAAATATGTTCAGGTTCTGTTAAGAACAAAGGAGGAAGCATGTCAAATTTAATCCAGCATCTTAAAAGATTGCATCCTTCCCAATGTGGGATGATCACTCCATCAGGACGAAAGTCAGTGCAGGAAAACAACAGCAGCCCAGTTTCGTCAGATACTCAACAGTCTCAACATACAGTAAAGAGTATCATACAGTATCACCAACACTATAAAGAACGAGCCAAGAGTACAACGTGTGTTGGCTGTCTCCAAGAAGATTGTGGCAGCTTTTTGCACAAGTTGGAAGAGATCTTGGCGCCACCCAAGTTCAAGAAGAACCTGGACAGAAGTTCAAGATTTGACATCGGTGAGTATGAAGTAAACAAGATTGAGTATTTTATCTTGATTGAATAATGTAGGGTGTATTTACTGTTTTATACTAAATGATTTTTACAATAATTTTAGATGTCCTCAATCCATTGGGGTCCCACTCAGCACATAATCAGCTGGGTGATGCGTAATAAGAAGGCCATTCGGTGAGTTCTTGGTAACGACAAGGACACAAGTGTTGATAAAACACTTGGTCCGCTTAAGGAATTCACTGATATTATGTCTGCGAGCAACTATGTAACAACAAATGCATTGAAGCCAATTCTCCATTGCCTGTCAACCACTGAATTAGCCCCTCAAAGATGATGATTTGCTGCTGACGGCCAAAATCAAGAACAAGGTCTTGACAAGATTGCAAGCACGTTTTGTTGATGGTGCACTTAAAGCTTTGATGAATGTTACATCGTTCTTGGATGCTAGGTACATGACTGACTTTCTCGAAAGCGGCGAAATCAATGAAGTAAGAGAGGAGCTCTTGAAGAATGCTGTTTACCTAAAGTTCAGCGCCATTGAAGATGAAGACGACATCTTGCCATCGTCTGCTTCAAAGAAGGTAAAATTCAGCTTTGGAGCATTGACAAGCGTAAAGAAGAAACAGTGTCGCCAGCTTTCTCTCCACATAGTTGCCTCTCCAAAAAAATTGACATTTACTTGACAGATTCGGTTATCGATGGAGATGACAAAGCTATGGAATGGTGGAAGGTCAACACCAAGGATCTTCCGTTATTGTTGCAGTTGGCAAGAACACACCTTGCCATTCAAGCCACTAGTTCGCCATCGGAAATGTTTTTAACAAAGCGGGGCAAATTGCTACTTAAAGTGGACAAACTGGTCTTCCTGGCAGAATCTGTGAAGGACTAGATTTTCTGTCTTTCCCCAAGACATTGTAGGGCGACTCATTCAGACATTTAGCATACCAAATACAATATATATTATTTGTAAAATATTCATTTTAATAAAGAACATAAAGAAGATAGTGACTAAATCAAATAAAATGTTAGGTTTTTTAAAGTGTAAATGTGTGAAGGATTTGAAAACAAATTCATTTAAACTATTATACATCACACTGGTTAGATCGAACTTATATTGTTCTCAAATCTGGGCTCCTCAGTCAGCCATTGGACAGCTGATAATGGTGGAAAGCATACAATGACGAGCAACAAAATTTATGTGTAAAACATCGAATCTCTCCTATAAAGAACAACTAATATATTTAAACTTATTACCAATTAATTATTGGTTAGAATATTTTGATTTTCTACTTCAAGTGTGAATTAGGCCTAATTTTAATGAACATAGATCAATATATTCAACACTGTGATACTTGTACCATGTAGGGATGTCCAGTTTAACTTTATATTCACAACATTGTAAAACATGGATTGGAAAGGTGTGGATCTCAAAGTTCCCTATAAGAAAATGAATGGCAGTTTCTTTGCAGAGTTCATTGGAAAGCATTTTAATACTTGTTTCGCAAAGTGCGGACGTAAAAAAAAACGATCGGCGCCTGTTTCTCATGGATAATGACCAATTACAAACGAGTAAAGCAGCGTGAAAAGCAATGGAAAAAATCGAGGCTGAATTTCACAAGATTCCGGCTATATCGCCTGACCTGAACCCGATTGAAAATGTCTTTCACTTGGTAAAGAAGTCTCGAGAATGATGATAGGAAATTCCTATACAAAAATAAATTTTCTAATAAATAAATTAATTTTTGAATTTCCTATAGGAATTCGTATAGGATGTTATATAGAATCCTATTGCTGCTATTATGTTTTTACTCTGTTTTTTATAGCAAAATACAAAACAAGTGTAACTCCAACGATCGATATCGACCTACATTGATATACATTGTTATTGATCTTTGGAGTTACACTCTTGTTTTGTATTTTGCTAAAATACTCTGTGGTTATGTTTTTAGTATCAATGTGTTTAGCTAGCTAGGATTTCTATAATTCCTGATGGTCCCTAGTGCAAGCATGATTCCTATTGGAATTTTATCCCTATTAAGGTGGTTTTCCACTAGGCGAAATTTTTTGACCGAATCGAAATTTCTCTTTGTTTCATGAGCTCTCAAGCAGAACTAATTGTAAAAAGACAAAGAGAAATTTTGTTTCGGTCAAAAAATTCCGCCTCGTGTGATCAGGCCTTAAGAATATAAGATACAGCCAATAGTTCACGCTTCAACTGGATGCCCTGGTGACTAGTTTACGTTTCAGAGCGCAAAGCTTCATGGGATACATCGTTTTATTTGTGATAAAAAATATTTGGTGTCTTGTAATATTGTGCTTGGAATATTTCGTTGATATTTTTAACCCAAACTGTGGAAAAGGAATCGGAAAGTTCTTAACATGTTATTCAGATGTCACAGGTAAGAATACTTTTGTATTTGACTTATTATTTAAGCACTTTAATTGCAAAATAATGTGGTGAATATGATTGTTAACTTGAGCCATGTGGGCCATGTGTCTTAAAATTCCGTTGAATGTTTGAATTTGCCGCATTCAATTTGCATATAAAACATACAAAATGTTGGTTTCTGGCAGTAAAGAAAGAATGAAATATAAATTCGAACCTATTATTGTGAATTCTATACTAAATTTCACACTATTATTAATAATTTAGCAATATTTTCTTTGGCATAATTTGGCACTTTGCTTTTAAGAGTTAAGACTATTGTCAAGCTGGGTAAATAATTATATGAAATAATACATATTAAACATCCGAATGCTTTTAAAGATATGTTTGCATTTTAGTACTTCAATAAGGATTGGAATCAGAGAGGAACGACAGCATTTAATTAATGTGCTATTTTTAGTGTTTCGATAATCTTTAATGTGCTCAAGTGTCCTCTACTGTATTTGCATTACTCTGTCTAAATTGCAAGATGATTTTATTTGTCAAGGGGAGAGTCTTTTATTTAATAGTGGGTTTATAAAGAGCTTCACTTGTATAAAGTAATGTTCACAATGATAGTGCTGAGACAGTGCCTCAAATGTTGTCTTTGTATATTTCAAGATTAATATTTGAGCTGGGCAGTGCTTGTATGTAGCCCTGGCTCCAAATATTGTTCTCAACAATCCGCAAATATAACCAGATTCACTAACAATAGTCCATAGTTTATTTAATATGTGCTTTATCACTTTATATATTTAATTAAGCATAAATATATGTGGCACGGCATTGATAGTTTTGGATGGCCTAAATTTTGCCGGATGCCAGTAACCCAATCCAGCATATCCCTACTCTCTGTCCACGGCCATGTCTCTGCTTAACATACTATACATATTACAACTTGAAAGATATTATTTGCACTTCACTTGGTTGGACTAGAATACTGGGTTTGGTGGATAATCCAATATATATATAATTATATACAGTATACAGACACTATTTAATTAAGACCTATAACCAGGAACGATTTCGAAAAATGTAACACTAAATCCTCGACCAGGAATTGAACCTACAGCCCTGTGCTTCCGGGGCAGAGTTCTAACCAACTGAGGTCCGGAATCGCAGGGCCATAGGTTCGATTACTGCCAGAGGACTTAGTTTTCAATGGATTATTCACCAAACACAGTATACATATTACACCCTGCATTACCTTGTACCAATATGAACAGTCTTTGTAATTTATGGTGATTATGACAATAAACTATGGAAATTATCTTATATATAAAGGATAAATCTTATTATTATTTATTTTAAAAATTTCTGGTTTCTGATTGGTTAACAGCCAACTGTGAAATTGTCAGATCAACTCAGTGTCTAACCAAATATGGATTTTTCACATTCATATTGGCAAAATGACGTCAAAGAGTGAATATGAAAAAAATTTGGACGTGTTTGCGCCATATTACTATGACAAAAATCATATTGACTCACTGACGCCATTGATATGACGGCTGCCGAAGAACTAACTAGGAATTTTTTATTCTTAATACAAATAAAATACAAATGGGTTCATTTGTTTTGATTTTTTTAAATAAATAATAAAACAATTATTGAATTTGGTTTTTGCACAATATGAAGAATTATCAAGCCCTCAGTTTGCCGTAACGGTTATCAACCTCAGCCTTTGGCTTCAGTTGATAACGGCAAACTTTGGGCTTGATAATTCTTCATATCATGCTCAACCTCATTCAATAATTGTTAGATATTAATTAAAAACTGTTTTTACATCAAGAGTTAATAGTCCCTTATAATTGACTGAGGAGTGTCTCAGTTTCGGAAGCAAGTCCATTGTTCTAGTTTTTTTATAGGGTATAATTTACTAATTATGATTATATTTTCAAATAAATAAAGTTTTCCTTTTACAGATTCCAATATGATGGATCTCTGGTGGAATTTGCACGCTGTGGTTGGATCAGTATTAAATGTACATGAAGAAATCAATGGACTTGAACAAATGGTTTGTTAGATCATAATATTGATTGTGAAGTGGAAAGTGTTCTAATACGGCTTTGTGAGAAACTCTATTCGCCACAACTCATTGCTGTGCAATCAGAACTAAACATAGTCATGTATAAGAATGACAGAAAATAAAACTTTTGTAGTGCATACAGAATTTTCTATTTTTTAAATACATAATATAGGTAATATAATATAGGACAATTTTACGTCTAAAAATTTTCTAAAAGTAAGAAAATATAAGAAACATTTCTTAAACTGAGAACAATGAAAAATGTCATAAGTTAAAAAGATAAATAGCCTAAATTAGTATGTTATATGTAAATATAGTAGCCTGTTATATTTGCCACATTTTTATCTGTAATAAATTTTTTTTCACTAGTTTCTCTTTTTCCTTCACCTTGGTAATAACTCTTTTAGGCAGTTTGATTTAGAGGATTAGGCAAGAATTTCTATATGATCCAATATGAATTTCTATGTAAATCTAAGGAATTCCTATTCCTATAGGAATTCCTGTTAGATTTTGGCCCAATTTCCTATAAGGAAATTGGGCCAAAATCTAATACGAATTCCTATAGGAATTCCTATAGGATCCAATAGGAATTCCTATAGGAATTCCTATAGGATCCAATAGGAATTCCTATAGGAATTCCTATAGGAAATTGGGCCAAAATGTAATAGGAATTCCTATAGGATTTCCTATAGGAATTCCTATAGGATTTTTTCGTAAGGGTAGCAAAGCAATGTCCACATGGTATTCAGTCGTCAAATGTAACTTGTGAAATATATACATGCAAGACCACAAATTATGGCTTAAATACTTGTCTCCATCTGATTATATTTTTCAAAATGTGCACACGCCCATAATGTTGTTAGATTGAGTACGATTAAAGTGAAAATTCTAAGTGCACCAATATTATTGACCAGGATTGTAGTTGCCCCAAACAATTGCTGAGTTTGTCACCGATCGATGTAATTCTCGTGACATACGTTGCTTTGACAATTTAGCGGCCCCTTCCAATTCCTATTCATATTCCTATCTTGGGCTCTTGAATACGAGATTTTTTGCGCCTTGTATGCTAAATGACCCTGGTTTTTTATTATTACGTGGAAAACTAATACATGTGACTAAACTAATTTTATTATACACCAAACAACCCATTTATAACCCAAATGGGCACCACATCAATGAGAAAAGTGCAGCATTTATTCGAGGGAGGCGTTTATTTAAGTAAAATGGGAAAATTGGGAAGTGCCCCGGTTTTGAGGACTCGGAGGTTGGAATGTCTGACAACTACTTTAGATACCTCATGTTTGGAAAATGCAATGGTTTATACGTATTGTATTGTCAATCAGCAAGGCCGCCCAGAGGTTGGCGGGGGTCCGGGGCAAATTATTTTTAGGGGCCCCTATCTAAAAAAAATTTTCCCGGAAAAACCCCCCCCCCCCCCCTGTCGTTTCCGGAGTACAAAATTTTTCCAGACCAGTACGTTGCAATTGCTTTCGAAGGACTTTATCTCATTTTTTTATGCCAAAATTCGGTACTTAGCCCAAGAAAACAGATATCTTGTCCTTTGCGCGGATATATTTAACACACAAAAAAGGCTGGGGCCCAACAAAAGTTTTTCAGGGGCCCCCAGCAACTCGGGGCCCGGAGCAATTTGCCCCCTTTGCCCCCCCCCCCTCTGGGCGGCCCTGTCAATCAGGTGTACTATCTAGTATGGAACCCCTGTGTCCTCTTATAGTTACACCTGCAGTTACAGGTAAATTTTTTAAATAAATAAATAAATATATTTTCTATGCATTTCGTACATTTGTGAGTTATTCAATCGATTTTTCTTTTGACTAAAGACTGTTTGCACGAAGCATCGAGTATAAAGCGGATCACATATGCATGAAAAGAAGGCGGATTTCTGGCATATAGCAGTGGCTTACAAACAATTCATATTCTGTTGTACCCTGACTTATTTTAGATGTGTGTAAAAGCGAAAATAAGATAGAAATATTTGTAATTCGCAACCGAAATGGCTGCCATGTTTTTTTACCCAGTGTTTCCACTATTTTAGGAAATTTCCTTTAAATTTTCATTAAAAAACATCGTTTTTTCGTGTTTTTTTCAGACAGTTTTCGGTTTTAACACTGAACTGCCCAACCCTAGCAAGTAGCAGCCACAACCATAGAGTGCAAAATCTCTTAGCCCAACAAAAGAGGAATAAAAGGAGAACACACACTGTCAAATAGGCAAGTAACATATGATGTGGCATATCTACAAGATGGCGGGTTGTGTAATTTTTCAGTGCTCTTGTTATGCAGCAATAGTGTTGCTCATTACAACAGTTTTAAGCTTTAATAGCGACGACAACGAACTTACAATCAACGGCAGCTTATTTATAACGTTTGGAATGAATATGAAGCAATTTTCTGGTAGAAATTCGACGTTTCCACGACACCGTTATGGTTGTGTTGGGGAAGCATCATCAACAACAGCGAAGCTACATGCCGGAATCTTATTAGTGAAAGCAAGTATGACTGCTGTTGGTCTTGTTATGCTATCTGGAGATGTCAGTTCCAACCCTGGACCTGGTGTAACTACAGGAGCTGATAAAAGATATTTGATAGATTGCCTGTATTTAAATGCAAGAAGCCTTGTGCATAAAACCAACGAACTTCAAACTCTTGCTGTTGACGTGGATTTAATTGCAGTAACTGAGACGTGGCTTAGACCAGACATTCTCGACTGCGAAATCCTACCTACTAATGATTTTTCTATTCACAGACGAGACAGGGTTTCTCGAGTAGGCGGAGGAGTAATGTTGGCTGTTCGAAAGTCTATTCAAACGTTTCGGCGAAGAGATTTGGAGTCTAATTCTGAAGTATTGATTTGTGAGATTCGCCCTAACGCAAAACGCAAATTTTTGGTTGTTGTTTTTTACAGACCACCAGATTCTACGCTCGAATACATGAAGGAACTTAAAAAATCACTCAGACTTTCTAGCCAAAAGCAGTTTGACCAAATCATCCTATGTGGAGATTTTAATCTCCCTAATATAGATTGGAGCACCGGTGTCGCTAATACTAGTGACAATATCCACACTTATTTTACTAAGCTCGTGAGAGATAACTATCTATGGCAAATGATAGATTTTCCAACGCGGAACAACAATGTTTTGGATTTGATTCTTACAAGTATGCCGGACAAAGTAACCAATGTTATTGGGTTTGATGATATATTATCTACCGACCATAAGCTTATCAGCTTTGTTTTGAATTTTAATTTATGTAAGAAGCAACCGACTAAACGGTCAGTTTACAATTTTAAAAAAGCCAATTGGAATGGTCTCAATGAAGTTCTTAATAACACCCCATGGGATTTATGCTTTGTCTCGGGTGATGTTGACGCCGTCCTGTCATGCTGGATTGACTTTTTCCTTTCAGCCGTTAAAGATAATGTACCATTATGCAAATCGCTGAATAACTACAATCATGCATGGATTGATTCAGAATTACTAATGCTAATTAGAAAAAAAAACAGACAAAGAAACAAATTACGCAAATCCGGAAGTTCTCATGATCTAATGAAATTTCAAAATCTTCGGCGTGAAACGAAAAGGGTCATGTTGCAGAAAAGGAAAGTAATGGCACTGAAACTCAGTAATTCTCTATCCGAAAACCCGAAGCGATTTTGGTCCCTTGTTAAAACGTCGACCATACAGACATTTACTCCAATGATATTGCGGGATGGTTTAAAGGTTGTCACGGACGCGTATGAAAGAGTAAATTTGTTAAATTCATTTTTCTCCTCTTCTTTTTCTTGTTCTTTCTCGAACGATATTCTGCCCAATTTTCAAGGTGTCACGTGTGCTATTGAACCATTGGCAACCATTAATCTTTCTGAGTCTGAAGTACTTCACGCTCTTAAAAATCTCGACCCTAGTAAGGCTTGTGGACCTGACAACATCCCAGGAAGACTACTTAAAGAAGCAGCCGAAGTAATTGCTCCAAGCCTCTGTCGGTTATTTAACATGTCCCTCTCACTTGGACATTTCCCTACGACCTGGAAACGAGCCAATGTTACGCCTATTTTTAAGAAAGATGATCCCTCACTTCCTTCAAACTATAGACCCATTTCCTTACTTTGTATTTTATCAAAGGTATTTGAACGATGTGTTTCATACCATTGTCAACATCACTTGTCACAGTTCATCTACGATTTCCAACATGGTTTTCGCAAAGGACGTTCAACAGAATCTCAGCTACTAGAAGTTTATCATGATATATTAGATTCTCTTGCACGTGGTAAGGAGGTTGATGTTTTATATCTGGATCTCGCGAAGGCCTTCGATAAAGTACCTCACCACTTGCTGATTGCAAAATTGGAACGATATGGTATTTCCGGATCCCTGCTACAGTGGTTGAAGAGTTATCTGACTGACAGACACCAACGTGTTGTTCTTGATGGGATCTATTCCGATTGGCTTCCAGCAAGTTCGGGGGTTCCACAAGGATCAATTCTTGGGCCGCTCTTATTCCTTGTTTTTATCAATGACTTACCCAACTATATCCATTCGGATTCAAACTTGGCACTATTTGCGGATGATTCGAAATTGTATAGAACATTAGACTCCCCATCTTCGCAATCTCTTCTCCAACAAGATCTCGATGGCCTACACCGATGGAGTTTGGATTCTAGCATGTCCTTCAATGTCCTGAAATGTAAAGCTCTTCATATTTCAAAAAAACGAATCCCTAGTGACTGCTGGTCATATCGATTGGGTTCTGAATACCTAGAATGCGTCCCTTTTATTAAAGATCTGGGCATCGTCATATCCTGTGACTTGCAGTGGGGAAGACACATCGAGGAAATGGTTTCTAAAGCAAACCGGAAACTTGGATTGGTGAAACGAGTTTGTAGGGATATTACAGATATAAGTACCCGCAAACTTCTTTTTTGCTCTCTGGTTCTCCCACATCTCGAATACTGTTCCAGCGCATGGTCACCATCGACAGTCAAACATCGAGCTTTGGTTGAAAATGTCCAGAGGCGAGCGACTAAGTTCATCTTAAATTATCCACCACGCGAAGTTTCGTACCCGGACAGACTGAGAAATCTAGGCCTTTTGCCGCTAAGATTTCGCAGAGAACTGAAGGACCTAATACTGTTATTTAAATGTCGTTGCGGTACTATACATCTTAACTGTGAAAAATATTTTTCTCCAGTTTCAAGCCGCTACTCAACTCGAAACTTTGATCCAAACAATCTTAAAATAATAACTGACCATAAGCAAAACTATTACAGAAACTCTTTTTTTCCAAGGGTTATTGAACTATGGAACAATCTACCACATGATTTTAAGAAATGCCAGTCCGTTTCTATTTTTAAATCAAACCTGCATGGATATTTTTCGGACAGGCTGCAAACGTACACACCGCCGTAGTTGGTTTTAGAGACAGTCCGACTTCTAAAATCTGGATATTTGCTTTTTTATTGTATTGTTCTTGTTGGGGTTGGTTGTCAATTGGGAAATTCTCCTGTTACCTTCTCCTGTCATTGTTTCTGTAAATATGTAATTGTCCTTTGTTGTAATTGTGACAAATTCATTAAATTAAATTAAATTAAATTAAATTTTATGAAGCGCTTAGGGAACAATTTTACCAATTGAGGCTTATATTACGTATAATAACATACCTAACATATATATGTTAGGAAATTAATAATTTTGTAATTAAAAGCGATATTTTTAGGCGATTTTTCATTTGTAAGAATATTCTTAAAAAATTATCATGTTACCATGACAACTACTTTAGATACTTCATGTTCGGAAAATACAATGGTTTTGTCAGCAAGGCGAGGGTTTCTGCATGTATGTATTTTCTAGTATACCGGATGCTAAATATGCTAAAATACTAGTCAAAAATCGATTAACCGAAGCAACAATATCTCAGCTAACTGCAAAACACTATACGACAATAAAGATTACCGTTCTTGGTGACATTTTGGCAATTCTTGGTCATATCCAGACTGTACTCTTCTCTCCAGCTCTGCAAGCACCTCACGTTGAAAGTACTACATCTACAGCCACACAGTTCAAGCCTGCACCTGCCGCCATCAAACTTCCTTTAGTGAGTTCTAACATGACACATCCTCAGTTTCAAAAGTTTCTCATTGATTGGTCTGTATACAAGAAAATCACTCTCCTACCTACATGACTCGCATTTATGCAGCACTTGTGATGAATCCATTCAGAATACACTCATTAACTCCTTCCCAGTGTTTTTACAGTTGCCTGAGGGCCAAATGCTTAAGAGAAACATCGAAAGTGTTGTGACAAAACATGCTAATCCTGTCGTGCATCGAATGAACTTTGGTAATTTAACACAGCATGAGTCTGAGTCAATCCAAGATTTCTTAGTTCACATGTGAACTCTCGCTATTGACTGTGAATTCTCTTCCCTACATGCTCTGTAAACATTTCAGCAATGCACATTAGGGATCAGTTTATCTGTGGGCTACACAACGTACAACTTCAGACGGACATTCTAGCCAAGGCTTGCAACCTCAAGACTGTCGAGGACATTGTTAAGCATGCCGAGGTGTTTGAAAGACTGCCCTTTGTGACCAATCACAATTTCAACACTCTGCTGACGTTCACACTGTTCGAGCTTCGCCATATCGCAAGCAAAAGCAACAGAACTTCCCACCTAACCAAACTTGCAATGGTTGTGGTAGCAAAGACCATGGCATCCCTGGCATGCCTCCTTGTCATTCCCATTGTCCCGCGTGGGAAAGACATGTAACTCCTGCAAGCATCTGAATCATATGTCTGCCATATGCCGACAGCCCAGCACAGCCAGTGGACTCATTGCACATGTGAAATACCAAACCGATGGTGATACCCTTTACTTCTGCTAATGCAATCAAAGAAATTCAAGCCCACCTAACTCCTGACATGACAGGGGCCACAACTGTTCCTCTCCATATTTTTCCTGACAGTGGTGCTAATATCTGCTTAGCTTAGGCCCAAAACAGCTTACCCATTTGGGCTTAACCCACCAGCTTCGCCCTTGTAACAAACATGTTAAAACAGTCGATGGCTCCATTCTCACATGCACCGGTTGGATCCCTGTCAAGTTTGAGATCAAGGGACATGCTACTACTCAGCCCTTGTTTATTTGCAACAAGGTCGATCGCCTGTATTTTAGTAAGCAGGGATGTATCGAAACAAGAATCTTACTTCCACAGTACCCCCAACCAATGGCCAATTCGATTTCAGCAGTTTCCACTCCTCCCACTGCACAACCATGTCCACCACCGCCTAAACCACCATCCCAGCTCTCTTATCCTGCTACGCTAGAAAATGTCCCCAAGCTTGAAGCCTACATTCGAGAGCAGTTTGCAACCACTGCCTTCAACAACTCACCACCTTTCCCGTCATTATCTGGCCCACCTTCTCATATCCACCTGCAACCTAATGCTGTCCCTTACACTCGACACACACCCATCCCAGTTCCCCACCACTGGAAGGCCAAGGTCAAGGAGAGCTTAGACAGAGATGTCCAATGAGGCATCATTGCCCCAGTACCTATTGGAAGCCCTGTTTCAAGGTATAGCCTGATGGTCGTTGTCTCTAAGGAAGATGGTTCTCCACAACGCACAATCTACTTCCAGTGACTGAATGCTCAGTGTCAATGCGAAACTCACCACTCCTCTACTCCATTCCAACTGGCATTTCAAGTACCAGCACACACCAAGAAGTCTGTTGTTGATGCCGTGGATGTCTTTCATTCTGTGGCTTTAGGTAGCGAAAGCCAACCCTTAACAATGTTCATTACAGAGTGGGGTAGGTTTATGTACCTACTAACGCCTCAAAGGTTTGTGGCTGCGGGTGACGCATACACACGCTGTTACGATGAAATCATAGATGGTGTCGAGTGGAAAGTCAAGATCGTTGATGATACCCTCTTATACAACAAGTAAATTGAGCAAGCGTTTTATCACATGTGGGACTATCTTACACATTGTGCGAACAATGGTGTTGTGGTAAATGCTAAGAAATTCAAATTTTGCCAAACACGGTCGACTTGACGATCCCTCCCACTAGAGTCACCCCTTCTGCCAAAACCTTGTCGTCGATCTGTGATTTTCATAGACCAACCGACCTTACCAGTGCAAGATCCTGGTTTGGACTTGTGAATCAAGTCGCTTGGGCCCATGCTATCAGCCCCATTATGCAACCCTTCTGTGAGCTTATTAAACCTAATCAAAAGTTCTACTGGGACAATACCTTAGATACTCTGTTCGAGTCATCCAAGTCCGTCCTCATTGACCTTGTGAAAGACGGGGTGCAATCGTATGACATCTCCAGAACCACCTGTATCCAACCAGATTGGAGTAAAGCTGGGGTCGGTTACCTCCTGCTACAAAAGCATTGTCAGTGTGCTATTGTTTTTCCTGTTTGTTGCAAAAATGGTTGGAAACTTATCCACACAGGATCTCGTTTGACAAATCCAGCTGAAAGCAACTGTGCACCAACAGAGGGTGAGGCATTGGCAGTGGCCTGATCCCTTGAACAGGGTGCCCTAACCTTGTAAGAGAAACGTTGTCCTGAGAAATTTACACTGAGCAAACCAAGGCACGACAGGCATGAAATTCTGTGCATACCAGTATGTGTATTGGCCAGGCATGGACAGAACTATACAAATCCACCATGAAACCTGTCAAGATTGTATTTGACATGCGCCCTCCCATCACGTGGAACCTTTAGTGCTAACTGCAAGTCCATCCTACCCATTTCAACAAGTGTGCGCCGATTGACCACAAGTTTCAAATCAAGGGCCACTCATCTCGCGGTTGTCGATCGATTCAGCAACTGGCTTTGCATCTATGCATTCAAAGCACACAAAGTCAATCATCGTACTCTCCAGCACATATTCCGCAACCTTTTTAGTGTGCAGTTTCACTTCACACTATTGTGATGGCTGGCAAATTCACACGAATCAGTCAGTCAATCAGTCAGAGAGTAAACTTTCCAGGGGGTGTATACGATTTATGTTCATAGTGATTTATTGTACTTAGTACTTGGAAGGTTATTTAGGCAATTTCAGTTAACTTTTTTACATATTCTGTTATCCTTTTGCCAAGTTAACAAACATTTTGAGGAATCGCTTTCGTTATTGTAATTTTTTGTAAATTTTAGAACATTCGCTTCTCATGTTGTGTAAAGGATCTTTACCCCGGAACACCCGATTTTTTCTTTAGTAGCGCAAATGTGCATGCGCTATCAAGCCGCAGATCACGATGGCGTGATGATATGCTAGGAAGGAGTGACAGTGTTGTTTTCAGATGTATAAACATTTCAGACGTGAATATTGAGTAAATCTTTTAAAACTTACGCAAAATACAAATTGATCTTATGCATTACGGGCGTTCAATTAAGTGCCGATAATATTTAGACGGTATATTCATTATACAGAGCTAGGAAGGAGCTAGACCACCCAGACCGTGCAGTCAAGTGTATAAACATTTCAGACGTAAATATTGAGTCGAAAATCTTTGAGATTCGAGGCATTCAATTGAATCAGAATGCAGATATTATTTTCACGGAATACTCATTATACAGAGGTACAGTATGTAGGCAGAAGCAAGACTGTTGTTTTCAAGTATATAAACATTTCAGACATGAATATTGAGAAAATCTTTGAGATTCTACGCAATAATACAATATGTAAATTTATGTCATCAACGGTGCAAATTTGTGTTCAGTTCAACGATAACTCTACCAGATCGTACGAGAATCAATGTGTAGTATTCTGTACACAGAACTGTATCAAAGCTTGTCCAAACTGCTTTAAACACTGCTTTAAACACTGCTTAACTGTGAAACTATTGAAATTTAAAGTGTAAAATGCAAATGAAAATTTAGAATATGCAAAATTTGGTTGTTGGCAAATCAATTTAAATTTCGAATTGTCGTGTGTAGCATCACAATAAATAGATAAATTGCATCAGTTTCACAAGGCAAGTTTCTGATGTGTTAGGCTTGTTTCAAACATCACACTACTTGTGTGCCGAGCGTATTAAAAGCAATAAATAATGAGATGAAATGCCTTTGGTAACTGTTTATTTCATAGTGTAAGTCATCAGCTTTTCTAGGTTGTCGGCGACCCTATATAGTTCTTGCAGTGTCTTTTTCAATTTGAAACTTCACACTGTCCTTGGATCCATAGTTATCGCTTATGACATCTCTGAAGAACTGAGCACCGATGGTGGCCCACAGTTCACTTCTGAAGCTTTTCAGCAATTCCTGAAGTTATGGGGTGTCAATCACCAGCTCTCATCAGCATCCTACCCACAAAGCAATGGAAGAGCAGAAGTGGCTGTTAAGGCTGCTAAACGCATTATTCACAACAACTGCTCGTCAGATGGTTGGTGGGCTTAACACTGATACGGCTGCTCGCGCCATACTCCAGTATCGTAACACTCCATTACCAGATATCAAGCTGAGTCCTGCCCAAATTTTGCTTCACCATCAACTATGTGACTGTATTCCAGCCCATCCCGATCACTATCAGCCCCATAAGGAGTGGGACCTTACAGCCGAGGAGCGTGAAATAGCACTCGGCAAGCGAAATCACATCCTGGTCAAGAACCATGATGCTACAGCACGCAAGCTTCAGCCCCTTGTTCTTGGCACCAATGTGGTCGTGCAAGGGGAAACCAAGAGATGGGAGCATACTGGCAGAATCGTAGAAGTGTTACCCTATCGGCAGTATAGAATTAGAATGTTTCATTCTGGAAGAGTGATCCTCAGAAATAGGCAATTCCTTCGCGAATACACAACAATCCACCCAGAAGATATTCACCCCTTGTCCATCTACTCCTGCTCTTGAGTCTGCAGCTTCTACTCCTGCACCACCTACTCTCGCACCCTCTACTCCAGCATCACCAATCCTCATTCCTGAGTCAGAATGTTCCGTCCAACACAGTCTCAGGGAATTGCACCAGGTGACAGTCAGCAAACAGCTGTCACGCAAAAACTCCCAAGAGCTTTAAAGATCTTAGAAAGCTTCAATAAGCAAGGACTTAAAGATCACCTCCTTCTAGGAGGAAAGAGATAAACAATACCTTAATATTTGCTATTGTGTTTATAGTTTGTTGTTGATTCACTTATAAGATTATTACATGAAGTATAGGGCATTCAGACGCGTAATGGCGGACACCACATGCTTTAGTTTTTAGCTGTTCATTTGTTTATCAAATAAAGCTTTGTTTGAATGAATCTTGTCGATTGTTGATCTTAATTATTTATCATTGCCACTACTATTATGCTATTCCATGCCGGCCCAATATTATTGACCAATACTGGCAGTTTTAACCAATAAGCTAAAACTTGCATGGTTGCTCCTGACCTGGGATAGTTAATACTTAAACATTAATTGGTTAACATGCAAAATTGAAAAGCGCAGCTTAAATAATAATAAAAACATTCATATATGCTTGTTGATATTTTTTTTCACAAATTTTTGCATGTAGCCTGAAATGTCAGGCGTTCTATGGTTTGATAAATAAATATTCAAGATTTACTTTGGCAACTGGCAACAGTGTTACACCAAATTTTGAAATTAAATCCCATTTATTACCTTCTAGCATAAATTTTCCCTTTGCCATTTGAATGTGAAGTTTAATTTAAACTCCCTAATATTTCTGGTCTGATTTTATCTTATAGATCATAGATGTGTTAGTAGTGTCAAGTATTGTGATATGCTTGTGATGTTACTCTGAGTGTATATCCACACCGGATATACATTCAGGGTAACATAACAAACATCATATTCACCTGAGTCAGGGGTGCCGCATTTTGTGTGAAAGTTATGCATTCTGCTTTTGTTCCCACTGTCCCGCACACATAACTAAAATGATCTTAAAGTTATGCATTTTTACCATTATATGACACTATCCCACTTTTCGTACAATAACTCATTGACAACGCTTTGTGCAAACATAGAATTAGAGTTCACAATGTCAGAAGATCTGGAGACTCCAAATTTCCAAGATTTTCTCAATTGTCCTAGCCACATTAAACTGTAAGTAACACTGTCATATTGATCAGTAGTTATTTTACTTATCTTCATAAACAATTCAGGCAGTAAATCTAACCTCCCCCCCCCCCCAAAAGGCAAAGTCCTTGCAACGGCCCTGGTCACACATTCTTATCTTCCGAACTTGGCAGGTCTGCTGAGTACATAACACCAACAGAGAGAATCATGATTACAGGATTACATTGATATCGAAGGAACTAGACTCAGTTCCGACATATCACATACTCGGAACGACCTGACTGTGTAGCTCAGTTGGCAGAGCGTCGGGCTAGTATTCCAAAGGTTGTAGGTTCGATTCTCACCGTGGCCAGGCATATTTGTCAAGCTTGCCTAGTGTGGATATATACTCAGGGTAACATCACAAACATCATATTCACCTGTGTACATTTAACACCAACACAGAAAATATAATTTTTATTGTAAAATTTGTAAACGTTGCTGTTCAGCCATTGCAATTTTTACTTGAATATTGCTGTAATGTTTAGACCTATAAAGATGGTATTGTCTTCCTTTTGATAACATTTTTTCAGTTGCCATTCAGTATTAATATGTAAATTATTGCTAGAATGATTGTATTGAGTCTACTAGTTGGACCATTCTGACATATAAATAGACAGGTCATGTCAGTGACTCAGTGTTGTGAGTATGTTATGACATAGTTAATGTTCTAATGAATTGTATCATACTAATGTACCAAAAGTGACCAAACTGACGTTGCTAGTGTAAATTCTGTTTTATTTACTCCAAAAGTTATTTAAACTGCCAATTTTTGAAAAGTTTGAATTCTCAAACTGGTCTAGCTATGAACTACAACCACAGAGTAAGGAACTACAACAGTAATATTAAAAGTTTATTACTTATTACTCACACTGCATCACACACACAAATTTCGGGGAATATGATTAGTTGGATTGGAAATAAATTATCATTTAAATTCTGTGTCTGAATGCTTATTATTTCTCTGCATGTATTTTTACGAATTTTCTTATTCTTTAGATTAATGACCAGCGTGCTTATGTCAACCTTAAACATCATGGATGGGTAAGCATGGTGATAAAACAGATAGGAAAGGTGGTGAGAAACACAAGGCAAGAACAGTTCGGTAGCATTTATGAACAATATTTATGTTAAATATTTTTGTGTATCAATGTATATGTTAAGTGAATAAATATTTTGAAAAAAATGTCCAGCGTTGGGTTTGGGTTTAATTGACGTAGAAACATGCATGTCGAAATGACGTCATTACTCCAACGTCGAGCTATTTGCATTTTCACCTGCTTTTAAACATCGATACGACGTCGAAAATTAACCATGGAAACGAAATGGATTTCCAGATGTTGAAACAATGTCGATTCATAGACGTTGATACGATGTCGATTTTTCAACGTCGATTCCATTTGTGTTTTCAACCCTTTTTCGACGTCGATTCGACAACATCCTCTGACGTCGTTTCGATGTTGTTTCAATGTTGCTTTGCCGGCTGGGTTAAATGTTGGTTCTAATTCTTGCAATTATTTTGTTGAAGATGAATTTAATGAAATGATGAAGAACAACGTAAACAATAAAAATCATTTATTGCTACTTCATTTGAATATCACGAGTCTTTATGCTAATTTGGAAAAATTAACTGACCTATTGTCTAATCTAAATTCGGAATTTTCCGTTATTGGTATAACTGAAATCTGGCTTCAAAATACAGCACATCTAGTCGACATTGAAAACTATACTTTCGTTCATAAACATCGAACTAGTCCAGGGGGTGGTGTTGGATTGTATTTATCAAAACAATTAAACTTTAAAATTCGGCTTGATTTATGTTCGGACAGAACAGAAACAATGGAATCATTATTCATTGAAATTTGTAATCCCAACGGGAAGAATATTATTGTCGGGGTCATTTACAGACCACCAAATATGGATGTGAATCTCTTTCTTAACACATTTAATGAAACATTAGGGAAAAGTTCCAAAGAAAACAAAATTTGCCATCTTATGGGAGACTTTAATTTGAATTTAATGAATTATCAAAATCATACTGTGACTGGAAAATTTTTAAATGGATTGTATCCTAATGCTTTTATTCCAATGATAACTTTCCTACAAGAATTACATCTCATACAGCTACATTAATCGACAATATATTTACAAATCATTATTTTGAATCTGCTAGTGGGTTATTGCTCACAGACATATCCGATCATCTTCCGATCTTTTCAATTTGTCTTATGGATCCATCATATAAAGATCGCAATGAAACTATATTAGTACGCGATGAACAATGAAATTAGAACAACAATGAAATTAGATTTAAAGAGCAGTTAATGAATAATAGTTAGTTTCAATTAGAAGGAATTAATGATCCGAAAACTGCTTACAAAACATTTTTTCTTTCGAAAAAAATAAGAATTAGGCGTGGTTTCTGTAGTGTTAGTCGAACTATTTAATAATATAATACTTACATTAACGATGTACAGCTTTATATACAAGAGTGTTATATGCATGCATAATTAAGTATATTACATAATACATACACCTCCCTTTCTAAGTTATAAATATTAAATATATATATAAAAAACTAAAGTCTAAGCGTTCAAATAACTACCACGAAAGTTTTTGACTCTTACGGTTATACATTAGTACATATATATTTTTTTGTCTTTTTCCTTTTGAAAAGTATGATAATAGGATATGTTAATGTTCAATTACTAAATATTAATATCTAATAACTAATGCTAGTATACCAGTCTATCAGGTGGTGCAGATAGTCTACTTGATCTTGTGTAATAACCTGGATTGTTCTCTGGCACTGCAGTTCCTGATGTAGTTGATGTGGCTTCTTGCGGTTCTTCACAAGTATTCTTTGAAGGGTCTTCGATCAGATGTCGTCGATATCGTCGAACAGTTGTTGTTGGGGTTTTAACCACATATGAGCTAGGGGTTTCAAACTTATTGATAATTGTACCCGACTCTTTACGATCTGGAATCCACACTGGACAATCAGGCTCAAGTTGCTGTAATGTTTTCACTTTTCTTCTGTCGTTTCTTTATTCTTTCTTCCTTTTCTCTGACAGCTACGAGATAAGGCCAAGTAGGGACAAGGTGCTGTGATACAACTGGAAGAGTCGTTTGAATCTTTCTTCCAAATAAGAGTTCAGCAGGACTATAACCATTCTCGAGTGGAGTGTCTCGATACGACATTAAAGCAATATACTGATCTTTTGACTTTTTAAGAAGACTTTTCACTGTTTTCACTGCCCGTTCAATTTTACCGTTGGCTTGAGGATATCTTGGACTGCTTGTCTGATGCTTGAATCCATAACTGGAGGAGAACTTTGAAAATTCAACTGAACTAAATTGAGGACCATTATCTGATATAACACGATCTGGAATTCCATGTCTAGCAAAACAAGACTTCATATGCATAATTACACTTGTAGATGTAATACTGTTTAAGAGAGCTATTTCGGGATATCCTGAAAAGTAGTCAATGATTATAAGATATGTCTTACCCTTTAGCTCGAACAGATCAGTACAAAGTTTTTGCCATGGTCTATCTGGTAGAGGATATCAATGGTTCTGCTTTATATTCTTTCTTTCTTTAACGCATTCATGACAGTTTCGAACCAAATCATCAATTTGTTTGCTCATACCAGGCCACCACACTGACGTTCTTGCTCTTCTCGGCACTTCGTTATCCCGAGATGTCCTGAATGTATTTTACTAAGTATGTCCAATCTCATTGATGAATGGATCACCAATCTTTTTCCATGAAGTAGTAGACCGTCTTGAACCGTTAAATCACCCTACATGTTGCCAATAAGGTTTCATAGCGTCATTGACATTATTCTTGTCTGGCCATCCATAAGTACAGTACTTCATAACTTGTTCACACACTTCATCTTGCTTGAGATGCACTCTAAGCTCATTTAATCTATCTTCTGTGCATGGTAACTCTTTCAATACTTGATCAACAAATCCTTTTGCCTCTCCAGTGAGTATATCTTCATCTCCTTTATCCATTATTGGACAACGGGACAAAGTGTCAGCACACACCAAATCTTTTCCTTGCACGCGAGAGATTGTATACGTGAATTGCATTATTCGCATTCAGAATTGTTGTATCCTTGGAGACATATTGTTAAGACTTTTTTGCATAAATATCGGAACCAATGGCTTGTGATCTGTTTCTATATGAAACTTCATGCCAGAGATGTACTCAGAAAACTTCTCACATCCCCACATAATTCCCAGTGCTTTTTCAATTTGTGCATATCTTTGTTCTGTTGGTGACAATGCTCTTGAAGCATATGTGACTGGTTGCCATTCATGATTACTTTGTTTTTGCATTAAAATTGCACCCAAACGATATGAAGATGCATCTGTGCAAATTTTTGTCTCCACTTTTGGATCGTATAAGGCCAATACAGGAGTATTGCTGAGGATTTTCTTTATCTCTTTGAAAGCCTCTTCTTGCTGGATGCCCCAGTTCCAGTGAGTTTTATCACTCAATAAATCTTGGATAGGTTTAGTCTTATAAGCTAATCCCAATGAGAACTTACTGAGTTGGTTGCACATTCCTAAGAACCGCCTCGCCTCTTGTATGCTGTTTGGCGATGACATCTCTGTGATGGCACAAACTTTTTCTGGATCTGCACTGATTCCTGTAGCGTTTATCACATGACCCAGACAGTGAACTTCAGGTTTTGAGAATTCACACTTGTCGCCATTCAATGTAACATTCGCTTCTTCAAGCTTTTGAAGAACTTTCTTCAATCTTTCATCATGCTCCTTAGTATCCTTTCCATGAACAAGAATATCATCAATCTCGATACACACCCCTTCACAATCTTTCAAGACCATTTCCAACTGTTTTTGAAAATGTTCTGACGCTGGTGTTATTTCAAAAGGCAGTACATTGAAATTGTATCTCCCCCATGGGGTTATGAATGTAGTTATGGGAGCAGATTCTTCTGATAATGGGATTTGCCAAAAACCAGAGTTACAATCAAGCTTCGAGAACACTGTCGATCCAGCTAACTTTGCCAATGTATAATCGACAATAGGTAGGGGGTGCACTTCTCGTAGAATGCTTTCATTTAACTTGGACGGATCAAGGCAAATTCTGACGTCACCATTTGATTTTGGTACCACTACCATATGGGAGCACCATTCTGTGGGACTTTCAATTTTCCATCCTATCCAGTTCATTTTTAACTTTAAGTAACCGAGGATGTGCTATCTTTCTTGGCATGTAAACAGCATGGGGTTTAGCATCTGATTTCAATTTGATTGTGTATTCATTCTTGATTCTTCCAAGCCCTTTGAATAGCTTTGGAGACTGACTTTTCCACTTTTTGTTAGGCTCGGCTTCGTCGCTGCAGGTCTTTACTGTCTCCACAAACTTTGCTTTCTGGAGTAAATTCAGAGAACGTATCGCTGGCCCACCCAAGAGAGCTTGATGTAAACCTTTGATAACATACACATCTTGTACTGTTATTTTCTTATCAGCTTCTATTGTTGCAACGAATATTCCATAGATATCTAATTTCTTTCCATCACAAGAATGTAGCTTCTTCTTCGACTTTTTCAGAGCAGGAAGCTTAGTTTTCATGCTTTCATACACATGGAGTGAAATACAAGTTTCATCAGCTCCAGTGTCCAACTTGAATTGAACTACTTGTCCATCCAATTTTAGATTTGCTTTCCACTGAGCATTGTTTTGGGATGATACTTCACCAAGGAATTCATAATTTTCATCATCATCACTGTTTTCTTTGACCACCTCCGCGACCATTTTAGTTCTGCAGACTTTAGCCCAATGTCCAACTTTAGAACACTTGTTACACATGGAATTTCTTGCAGGACATTTTTCTCTGCTATGGAATTGTTTTTTTCCACATCGAAAACAGCTTTGTTTACCAGGAAAATCTTTCTGGTTTGATTTTCCTGTAGCTTTGTTGTTCTGTTCTCGCCGCGATTTCTTGTGCTTTGCGGAACGAATAGAATCTATGCCATTGTCTGAGAAATCAACTTTGTTTCTCAGTTCACTTTGCTCCTTTTTGACGGCGTCAGTTTCTCGAACAATATCTTCTGCTTTCTTTAACGTTAAATCAGGGTCAAATTGAAGCTTTTGCAATACATTTGCATCAATTAAGCTGACAACAATGCGGTCACAGATCATTTGATTGTGTAAATTTCTGTACTCACAGTGTTCAGCTAACACATATAATAAAATAAACTATATAAAAATAAAATTGCTGAAACAGAAAAGATATAAAAAAAGAGGTTCTGGGTGAGGAAAATTTATGAAAGAAGAGAAGAATTAGGACAATTTCATAGTTTAGTGAATGAACTTAATCTTTTTGATTGGGAGTACTATTTCAGGTAATTTATTTATTTATTTTTATTATTTATCTAAGTACTTCATCTTAAAATGACTGATCTCCAATTTGTTAGTCAGTATAAAACTTGCTTCACAGTTTGCTGGATTAATACTTGACTAAATTCTGAACTTTTCTATCATATTTGTTTTAAGATTCCTTCGAATGAGTCCTAATCGTTTTGAGAACTTACTGCAACTTGTGGGTCCCAATATTGTGAAACAACATTGCAGAATTTTTTCTGTGTTGGTGTAGTGTACTCAGGTGAATATGATATTTGTGGTGTTAACACCACAAATATCATATTCACCTGAGTACACTACACCAACACAGAAAAAAATTCATATTACTAGAATACATTGGTATCGAAGGAACTAGATTCTGTTCCGAAATATCACTTACGCGAACCGTCCTGACCGCGTAGCTAAGTTGGAAGAGCATTGGGCTAGTATTCCAAAGGTTGTAGGTTCGAATCCCACCGTGGCCAGGCATATTTTTCAAGCTCGCCCGGTGTGGGTATAGACTCAGCGTAACAGCACAAATAACATTGCAGAAGTCGAAAAACAATCACACCAGCGGAACGGCTTACAATAACTTTAAGATATTTAGCATCTGGAGATTCACAGCAGTCTCAATCGTTTAATTTTTGTGTCGGAAGAACAACAGTGTGCAACATAATACGGGAGACGTGTAAATATATTTGGCACGCCCTCAATAAAACTTACCTTGAACCACTCAGGACAGAGGAAGATTGGAAGAGGATAGCAAATGACTTCTTCATGGAATGGAGCTTTCCAAATTGCCTAGGGGCTCTCGATGGAAAGCACGTAGCTATAGAGTGCCCAGGATACAGTGGATCACAATATTTTAACTACAAACACTTTTTCAGCATTGTTTTAATGGCAATGTGTGATGCAAATTACTTGTCGATGTGGGAAAATTACGGAAAGGATAATGATGCTCACATTTTTAATGAATCTGATATAGGAAAGGCTTTCCATGCAAAACAAATGAACATCCCATCTCCAACAGAAGTGGACAAACATTACCTTCCATATGTGATTGTTTCAGACGAAATTTTTGGACTTAAAAGATGGCTAATGAAGCCCTACCATGGAAAGGGTCTTGATGAACAGCAAGCTGTTTTTAATTACAGGTTAAGTCACTGTCGAAGGACAATTGAAAATTGTTTTGGTATTTTATCAGCAAGATGGCATATTTTCAGAAGGCCTATAAGAGCTGCACCAGAAACGGTTGATGGTATAGTGAAAGCGTGCTTATGCCTGCACAATTACTTACAGCTAACCGAAAATGCACAGTATATTCCAACAGGTTTTATCGATTCAGAAGATTCATCAGGAAACATTAATCCTGGTGACTGGAGAAGTATTGTCCAGGATGAAGAAGGTGTATTGAAACGTACGCATACCGGTCGAGCTTTTAACAGATCATCACATAAAGCAAAGGATATTCGAGATAATTTTAAAAACTATTTCAAAAGTAAAAATGGTTCGCTACCATGGCAAAAATCTCATGTAAATAGCTGCTAATTTGTAAATGTTGTTATAACCATCTCATTATATATGGAACTCAAACAAGGAACTCATCCAACTACAACATTTTTTATGTCCAGTTTCTCTCTTAAAAATAGAGTAAGCATGTAAAAAGTGTTCATATGTTCAATGTTCATATTAAACTACTTAAAAATGTCAGTGCTAAAAACAGGATCAATTTGAACTTGACAGCACAACAAACAGTGCATTATTCATGCAAATTGTTGATCATTCTGTGCTGGAAATGGATTGTTAGATGCTGTCCACAGATAATTACCCAGCAAATTTTGTGAACTGGATTGAATTAGGGGTTGTTGCGTGGTAAACTGCATCGGATTTTGCATAGTGAGATTATTGTAGTTACCAAACTGAATATCCAAAAATATTTTCTCTGTTGCGCTTCGGACAACTGCCTTGTTCTTTTCGTCTAACTTTCTCATCCTATTCCCCAGGCTCATGCAATACATATAATCCTCATCCATTTCTTGTTTATCTGCACGTTTCATGGAACTTTCTTGTAGTTTAATGCTTTCATTGAGACTTGCAGTCGACTTATCCACTTGTCCGTCGGTTTCCTCTATTTTTCGTTTTCGGCTTGTGGTTTTTTTCCACTGTTTTTTTATTTTTCCTTGTGTGCTATCTTTATGAGTGCTAAGTGTAGTTGTACTATCTTTTGTTGTAGATATGCTTTCATCCACAGTTTGATTAACAGTTGTCTGAACACTGGCAATGCTGTCATCACTTCCTTCGTCTGAGTTTGTTGAATCATGTGATTCTTCACTGGAATCAACATTAACAGACACAGGTGGTTGATCAGACGTAGAACTCTTCTTAATGTTCTTATCAGACAGCTTAAAATTTCCAGAGCTTTGCCTGCTGATTATAAAGGGCTTCAGCCATAGAAGGTGCTCATTTTGGATTTACTACAAAATCATCAGCTCCTGAACCAGATTTTCCCCTCATTTTGCTTAGATATCTGCTAAACTCTGTCCTGATAGTCTCATACCTTCGCTTTACAGAGTCAACGGTTTCATGGAGTCGCTCTGCGATTTTCTTCCAGCAGTTTGCTTTCTTATTCTTGTCTTTGAAATCCTTTGACGCGCGGTTGTATATAGTAGGAAATTCTTGGATTAATCCATAAATAAGGCATCACTTTCTTGAATTTTCTGTATAGCAACAGCTTCGTCCGCCATTTTGAAGTTAGATGATTTCTGGAGACTGGACTCTAATTTCTTGTTGCATTTCATCGCATTCCATCGGTTTTCGGTTTTCATTTACACAACAGTCGCAATTTGTCAGCGAACATCGGTGACAATCGGGAAAAAACAAATATTTTTGTTTTCTATGATGGTCGCCGATAGTCTGGGAACATCCCCGATTACCGGTTTTCATTAATCGTAACTCATCGCAATTCGTCCTATCTCATCGGGAAGTTGATTCGCCGATGATCGCCGATGAATTACGACATATGAAAACCAGGCTTTAAACTATATATATATATATATAAGATGATTTCTGAAACTTGTTTAAAAGTTTATGTACAGGGTTTCAAGTATAAGTGCATATTACAGTATTGTATTATAAATAAAGGCACATACAACGAGAATAACAATGCCAATCGTGACATTTTTTAGTCAAAAATACTACGCACGAAGTTAATGGTGATTTTCAGCCTTATTAAAGCAAAAAGAACATTGAAAAAGCAATAAGTGCACAGTCCATTGTTTTCTTGTCCAAAATGTATAAAAATGATGCTTCTGAAATCGCTAAAAGTGAAGTTATAGGGTTCCTACTATGTACACACTACAAGAACAACAATGGCAACATCTTTTAGTCAAAAATAATACTATGCACAAAGTTAATGGTGATTTTAAGCTAGATTAAAGCAAAAAAAAGTTGGAAAAAGCGATAAATGCACAGCTCGTATTATTTTCCTTTAAACCATCTACATAAAATGTCTTGTAATTTGCTAAAATTATAGTTACATGTTACAAAGTGAGGGTATAGACATAGCCATCAATTTTGTAGTCACTGTGAAAAAAAGCTTGTTTATGCTGGACTCACACATCACACATAGTTGTAACTGCTGTAATGCACCCTCGATTCATTTTAGATGATAATGGCATGTTTCAAATGGCAATTTGTAGCTTCATTCTCAAGTTATAGGGTTCCCAGCACCTACCTTATTTTACGTGCGATGTTTTTTATTACATGCTTCGAAAAAACTGGAATTAGATGACCTCTATATAGAATTAATATTAAAAATGAAAACGAACTTACCTTGGCAATAACTCAGTCTTAAAGGTAAACTAAAAATACAATATTTAAGTGACCCTCTATCCACAAAATAAACAAAAATAACGCAGGATTTGCATCGTATTTTTTCAGAAAAAAGACCACGGTTGCACGGCAACCACATGCATAAACATGCTTAAAGCCATATCACGGATGGCACATAGCATCATAGGTGCTTTCGCTTGCGTTTCCAGTCCCTGTCTTCTGGATTGTCTATGGTGTCAGGCAGCATAGCCTTATTTTTGGGTGGGTGGGCAAAGCAAAAACCGAGGGGGTGAGAGTGGCTAGGCCCCACCAGAAAATTTTGATATCTAGAGTCGTTGAAATGCGATTTCAAGTATTTTGGGGGTGAAATTTTGCAGAATTCTGAAGATTATAAAATACATCAGACATGATTTTTACCACATATTTCTCCTTGGAACTAATGAAAATGAATTGCATGGAAAAGTCACCTTGCAAAACTGCATGGAAGGGGGATTTTGCATTAGATCATTCTAGGTTTTATGAGACACCATTTCTCACATTCACAAGATACAGAATAAATTTGAGAAAAAATATTAATGCTATGATAATGACATACATGCCATTTAACAGTTGAAAACCTAAACTAAACCCATTCTTCTTGGAACCATATATACAAAGCTTTAATAAGTTTTTTATAAAGCTCCTCCAGTAAATCGTTGTTGTCCTAGTTCAAGATGAGTCAAGAATGTAACATGTATTTCTCTATGGATTTACACTTTTCGAGAGAATTTTTTTGTGGCGATTTGTGGAGCAACTGCCTCTTCATATGCCACTGATTTGTGTATTACATATTATTTCATTTTTTGATGAATAAATTGTTTCGTAAAAACCTATCTAATAGTATACAATATCATGAAATCACAGTAGAACTTACCTTCTCAGGTGAATTTGGATTCCGACCAAACATCAGATAAAACGGAGTGTACTTAGTGGAAGATTGCTTTTGTGTCCTTATAGAATAAGCTACTTCATCCAAAAAGTCACACCAATTATTTTGGTATTTGTTGACAAGTTTTGATATCCGTTGTTTTAAAGTTTGATTTGTTCTTTCATCTAATCCATTCGTTTGAGGATGATAGGCACTGGTGACTGATCTCTTTATTCCAAATTCTTCGCACACTTTAACTTTTGCAACAAACTCTCTTCCTTGGTCAGAAAGCAGCTGTGAAGGTGCACCCCGTCTGAATATAACAACACACAAAACTTCAGATCCTTCCCTGGACAAGTAAAATCATCTGGTGTTGGACAGATTCCACAGTGGAATCTTTGCAAATGGCACAGGTAATATAGAGATTGCAGTCGGGCAAGAAACTGCGCAAAAAGGAGTAGGGTGGTTTGGGTGCATTAATGGTGGTTTGGGTGCATTAACCCTTTGGGTAACCAACAGGGGCTAAAATGACCTGGTAAAATTTTATCCATTTTAAACCCCATATATGCCTAAATATCTCTCTATAGTCATGCGCAGCTATCAGTTGCATTATTATAAACACTTTCCAATTCAATTCACACACGTTTTTGAGAAAAAGTGAAAAGTATTCGTTTTTTTCTGTTCAAATTTTGGAATTTGATACATCTGGACTTTAAAAATGGCATTCATAAATAGTTACGTGACCATGGACAAGATTATGGAGCATATTGAGGCAGATTCAGACTCAGAAAGTGATGTTAGCGTTGGGGATAATACGCTATCAAGCAACAAGGGAAAAATTGATGATTTTAGAACGTCAGGCAAGGATGACCCTTGCACTAGAGATTCAGTATTGAATTATGATGAAGATTTTATCTTATCACGGTAAGCACTCTTTTACTTTTGACACTGTAATTTTATAACTCCAAAATATCTGATATAAAGTGAGTTTGATTACCCATGCCCTGTGGACAGATTTTCCAATATTTCCAAGAGGAATGATGGGTGGAAATTGTTTTTTAGAGTTCATCTTCTAGCACCAACTTGAGTGAAAAGGAGACTGACTCTGATGAAGATTTTCAATTAGAAACAGACAAAGAAAGTGAAACAGGTAATCACACAGATTGTACAGGGTCTAATACACCTAGCTCGAGCTCTCCTGGTGGTTGTGCTGGTTCTTGCAGGGCTCGTGGCAGTTCTTGAAGGGCTTGTGGCAGTTCTCGCAGGGGTCAGTCGGGTTCTGGCAGGGGTCAGTCGGGTTCTAGCAGGGGTTGGTCAGCTGCTTGCAGGGGTTGCTCGGGTTCTCACAGGGGTCGAGCCGGCTTCCAAGACCAGATAAAAAAAGCCACCCCTTCAGAATTCTCTTGGTCAAACAAAACATTGGACCATAACAACAATGTTGATCAGATATTTGCTGAAGTACCTGGTCCAAAGAGACTTCCTACAAGTGTGAAAGAGCCAATTGACTATTTTCTTCTGTTTTTCAATATGCAACTAGTGATGCTTTAATATTGTAAACCAAACAAACCTGTATTACAATCAAATTTATGCTGCAAATGCTTCGTTGAATCCATTTCCTGAAGTCTGTGAGGAGGAAATACTTGCATATTTTGGAATTATCACAGCAATGGGAATATATAAGCTCCCAACGCTCTCAGAGTACTGGCGAAGAACAGGAATTGGTGCAATGCCCTGGTTTTGGACTGTGTTTTCTAAAAACAGATTTTTTGCGATAAGCAAATATCTCCATGCTAATGACAAGACGAAACGACCTGAACAAGGCCAAGATGGATACAAGCTGTTCCATGTACAACGTATAATCGATTCCCTCTTGCAAGCATTTCGCTTGCTGTATACCCCAGGGCGAGAACTGAGCATTGACGAACAAATGGTTGGTACAAGATGCATATATCATTTCTACAGTATATGCCCAAGAAACTCAAAAAATTTGGCATAAAAATTTGGGCATTATGTGAAGCAAAAACTGGTTATTGTTGTAACTTTCAAGTGTACACAGGAAAAACTGATGGTGCAGGGCAAGAAAGTGGTCTCTCGTACCGTGTCGTGTTTTCGTCTTTCGTATTTTTCGTCAGTCAAACTTGTGTCAGACTTGCTAAAAGAACATACATTGGCATGTGGAACTATTCAAGCTAAAAGAGTGAACCTTCCCACTGATATTTCAGATGGAAACTATTATCATGGACAGGTAAAGTTTTGGTCATGTGGCAACTTATCTGTTGTTCACTGGAAGTTTTCCTCTTGGCATTCATTTAAAATGCTAACAATTCCCCCCAGAAGAGATGAAGCAGATGAAGTGCATAAGCCTGAAATTATCCATGATTACAATGAGTTCATGAGAGGTGTTGACCTATGTGACTAGTTGCTGCACTATTATGGATTGACTCGGAAGTCAAAAAAGTGGTGGAAGAGTTTTTTTTAGACTACTGGAGCTTTGTATAATCAACTCTTTGGTGCTATACAAGGCAAATAATCCTGATTTTGCAAAGAAGTACATGGCCCATAAAATTTATCGGGAAACCCTTGTGCTTCAACTTGTACAAAAACTTTTGGACGAAAGTCCATCCTCAACAGCATATGACGTCAGCGTCCGACGTACTTTGTACCTTTCGTTGGTAAAATCCAATCTATGTTATGCCTGTGAAGTTTGGTCCCCATACATCTGCTCACAGAAGACAAAGATAGAGCGTGTGCAGAGACGAGCCACTAGATGGATATTGAAAGCTAGAAAAGGTGATTCCAGCTACAATGAGCGTCTCGTTGATCTGAACTTACTACCTTTGTGTTATGATAGAGAGATAAAAGATCTAATGTTCTTCTACAAGGCTCTTTATGGTATTTCCGATCTCAATGTTCATGACTATGTCTCGTTTGTAACCCATAACCACTCCCGTCTATGTCGTAATCCCAACCTGTTGCTCAAGACTCCATTGTGTAAAACCACAACATATCAGAACTCATATTTCAACCGGATCGTGAAATTATGGAACAGTGTTTGTAAAGTAGCTCCACCAAATACATTTTCTAGTGTCAAAACATTTAAATACTACCTCTTTAATTATTATTCTATGTTAGTATCGACCGTATTCGATGTAAACTTGTTATGTACTTGGTCTATGTCACGTGACTGTTCCTGTCATAAGAGTTAATTGTCTTATTGTATAAACTTGTTATTAGTATTTACATAGTAAACTATATTTACATGTATTCTGTTGGAAAGGTGCCTTGCATGGATAGCGCAAATTATTTCCGTTCCGTTCGCACCTCTTCCATTTGGGTAATATTCGTTCTTCGCATGCATAGTATTAGTACGTCTTTTGTAAATAATTATTATATTTACCCAATAAAGTATTTAAACATATTCTCCAGAAAGAGGAAGACCAACTCAAGATGAGTCCAGGCTGAAAGGAAAACACTTTCAGACAACTTCAGAGAAGAGAAAGAGATGTGTGGTGTGTGGCTATCAAAAATCTAACGGAAAATATAAGGATACAAAGACATATACATATTGCGCTAAATGCAAGAAGCATATATGTAAGAATTGCTTTGAAGACTACCACACCCGTCTTGTGATAAAAAAATAAGGTGATGTATGATGAAGTATGGCTGAAAACACTGTTAAACATTACAAAACTTTGTTTTTCATCATTTATTTGCAAAGTTTCCATTCATTTCGAGAGTCTCAAAACAGCATGTTCACTTCTATGAGACTCATTCGTTCTCGTGAACATATTTTTAGTTCATTATGCAAAATATATAGATAATTTGGTATCATTTTGTTTGCCATTCTCTATTCTGTTAACTTTTTATAAAAACATTCAAATCAACTGACCCTATGTAGCTGTATTTTGTTGTCAAACATTCACATTGGTAAAAATATATATTATTGGTTAACATTCAATGACGTCATATGTACGACTTTCAGGTTAAATTTTTTTTTAGTTGGAAAGGTTGACTCATATGCGTTCTAATGATATACAGGGTGTATAAAAAAACGGAGTCTCCTAAATATCCTTATTTTTATCGTAAAATAAACTACCATAGTTTCGTTTTGTGCTCAATTTAAAGCTTGTTTTTTCATCTTTCGAATGAAGGGTTTTGTGAAAATTTTGAACGAAGGCTAATCACAATAAAAATAATTTAGTACAAGCTTAGTACAAGCTCTTTTTATATACAAAAGTGTCCTGATCTGTTGGCTCGCGTCATTTGAAATTTAATTAAACGGCACACAAGCACAATACTATAGATCAGGAGGGAAAGCCACTAGATAGTACGTGGCGTGCTCTCTTTAATGTGAAAATTCATTTCTCTTGTCTTGGATGCGTGTGCGTTAATTGGAATCACTTCACGTTTGAAATGACGTGGTTGATGTGCCGTTTAATTCAATTTCAAAAATGACGAGAGCCAACAGATCACACGACACTTTTGTATATAAAAAGAGCATGTGAATTAAACAAGTCACATGTTATTATCACTGATGAAGATCCAGGCTTACGGATAAAGCTTTGCAGTAATAAATTTACGTGGTGTTTCCACAAACAAAACTATTATATTTTATCACCATGCAAACATACAAAGAACTTATTACAGACCTCTATGGAGAGTGTATACATTCAGCGTTTAAAAGACTTGATCGGCTTACCAATCAACGTTCAAGATTGATTAACAACCTCGCCTTTCTGAAAAGGAGAAATTCTATGAACAAACAAACGGCGCTCCAATGGGAAGTCCATTGTCGCCTGTTATGGCTAATTTGTTCATGCCTACTGCAAAGTTGAAACCTGGTTTCTGGTTCAGATATGTGGATGATACATTGAGTAGCTGGTCTCATGACTAGATAATTTACAAAAGTTTCTAGACCACATAATAGTTTGCATCCATCAATCAAGTTTACTTTTGAAGTACAGAGGGATGATAAAACTATACCTTTCTTGATGTTATTTTCACTATACATGATGGGTCGCTAGGACATAAGGTTTATAGGAAACCAACACATACAGACAGGTATCTGCATTATAATTCATTTCATCATCGTAGTATTAAAAACTCTGTGTGTAAGACACTCATCAACCGAGCGAAAACAATTTGTGATGTAAGTAACGTTGACGATGAATTAGAACATTTGAGAAATGTTCTAAAAATGAATGGTTACCCACGGCATTTCATAGGTAATAATATGAAAACGCCACAAAGTATACAGCAGAAGATTGAATATCAGTCGTATGTTTGTCTACCGTACATTGGTCCGGCTTCACACAAAATCGAAAAAATTTTGAGGAATGAAGCAGGTATAAAGGTATACCATTCCAGCGAAAACAAATTGTTTCAAGCTCTTTGCACACATAAGGACAACGTAAATGAATCTCAGTAACCTGGTGTGTACCGCATTCCTTGTGAATGTGGTCTGGTTTACATTGGTGAAACTGGTCGAAATCTCTCAGAACGTCTTAAGCAACACACGATGAATTGCAAGAAAGCCGAGCAAAATAAATCTGCTGTGGTTAAACATACTTGGACTTACGACCATCGTATAAAATGGGACGAAGCAACCATTCTGGCGATTGATAGTTATAAGTTCTCTCGCAAAATGAGAGAGTCAATTTTAATCGAGAAGCACAATACTATAGATCAGGAGGGAAAGCCACTAGATAGTATGTGGCGTGCTCTCTTTAATGTTCAAAATTAATTTCTCTTGTCTTGGATGCGCGCTTTAATTGGAATCACTTCACTACTTTGAAATGACGTGGTTGATGTGCCGTTTAATTAAATTTCAAATGACGCAAGCCAACAGATCACAAAACTTTTGTATATAAAAAGAGCGTGTGAATTAAAACAAGTCACATATTATTAGCACTGATGAAGATCCGGGCTTACAGATCCAAAGCTTTGCAGTAATAAATTTATGTGGTGTTTCCACAAACAAAACTATTATAGTTTTTTATATTCTTATATTTTTTAGAAGTGTCTTCAAGAGTTTTTTCTTTATTCATTGGTTTATGGATCTGTCGACCGTAAATATTCAGAAAGTGAAAAATAAAAAAAAATCAATTTGGATGTCAAAAATTTAACAATTTTAGTTAATTTTAATTAATTTGGGGTTCTGACATGAAGTACACTTCAAGTAAACTTAAGTTTACTAAGTACTGCTGGCTCATGTTATCGTTGTGACAATCAATATGGAGATTAGCCACGTTTTTTGCGTTTTTTAAAAAAGTTAACGTTAACTCAATTCCATCCACCAATATTGATTTCCGATGTATATGACGGGAACATTTATATGAAAGAGCTCCATGAGTATTTGCAGTGGAAATACGAAAATACCACCAAAAAATTCTGCTTGATCGATACTATATACTCCGAAATATTTGAATAATTTTGTTGTTTCTTGCTGAATTTCAAGTGAATTTTTTACCTTGAAATGATCAATGTGGTGAAATTTATGCAAATGACGCATTACCAATTTTGCTGTTGCATTTTGAATGTTCCGCCTGATTCAAATGCTTGTATCTTTGCTTCTTTTCAACATATAATAAAGACAAATATATTAAAAGAATCACCATCTTTCTTTCTATAGCTCGGAGCAGTCTCGGGAAATTGCAAAATAATCTATGCCTATTATGGTGATTCTCGTGCTTGGAAAGTGTTCGGCCAACTTTGGACGCCAAATTCTTGGTAAAGAATTACCTGGTAAAAGACTGCAGAAATCACTTCCGTTGTGTCTGGAGTTTCAAGCCAAGTATTTTGACCATTTTTAGACATTCCATTTCAATGTTTTGCCATTGCCATGTAGTTGCCATGGCGTTGTAAATTTATTTGCATTTGGTATAGCTTACTAGTACGACCAAGTATGTCCTCATATCGCATTTTTTGTCTTGAAATAATCCTTCCATACTGAAATTGACCAATATAAATGGTATTTATTTATATTGTTCATGAAAATTTATGGTGTTTTAGGCATAAAAAACTCTGATTCCTAGGCAAAGTAAAATGAGCCTTGAGCACATGTTTGGTTGTTTGTTACATACATAATAGACCAACTATTCATACTTATGTCTTACTAGTTTGGCTCTTATTATAGTTTCAAGTGACGCCATGTAAATTATGTCTATAAAAAATGTTTTTATTTGCAGTAACAAATGTATTGATCCTGTTCCTAGCTGCTATTCCTGTTTCAATGTTTCATATATATATAGCCTCAGGGAAGTAGCAGTTCTGATGAGTCATGAGAACCCCACTCCCCAACCCCCATTAGGAAAACGTGCAAGTGTAGAGGGAAAGTAGGGGGATGAGTAGGAGGTATAGGGAAGCCCAGCCACTAGGACCCAAGGTTTGGAAAGCTCGCTGTCTAGCACACCCACTAGGCCCCATAGTACATGACGGATATGGTGATCCTGACGCTAGGAATATTCTCCCAGATTTTGCCCCTCACCGACATGTCTGAGATCTATTTCGATCAAGCTTTCACCAGAAGTATGAACTGTGAGCTTGAGTTGATTTGTCTCCTTTTTATAAGGGAAAGCTTCAGGAGGTAGTTTCCCAGCCATACCAATAGATATGCCCACATACAAACAACCCAAAAATCATCCCGATATACTAATAAAGAAGGGTCCTGGAATCCACCAACTTTGAAGAGATTGCCTTTTTAGTATATGCAGGTTTGGTAAAGGTCGACAGTGAGATTGAAAAGTATTGGAGTGTAAAAACCTTATATCATGGTCGTGGGCAATAGAAATAATTTCTCGGTTTAGGTACAAAGCGCTAATGGCGTTTCTGAATATGGTAGATCCTGTCACTGAAGACTACAACAACAAACTGCATTAACAACTGTGCGAGCCATCACAGAATATTGGTGTTGAAGAACACACTGTCAAATCAAGGAATAGGTTAGGGATTACACAGTTCATGAAAGATGGCCCACTATGTGGGAGATAAGTCTGTGGGTTGCTGCAGACAGTCCTAATAGTTATATTGCGACTTTGAGATTTATACAGGAAGAAGTCCACAGATTCTTAGCAGCATGGATTTGGGTACGATGTGATATAAGTTTGGCTAATATATATTTTGTACAAAAAAAGGAAATATTTTCACCACATAATCCAATTATGCAATTATGTGCCTTGGCAAACGTTACTGCTTTGGAAAACATTACTTTCTTATAACTACTAAATGATGATGCCAGCCCAACAACACTTGGTCATGCTATATGCAAATATTTTCATGTTCTAGATTGTGAAAACAATCAATTTCTCAAGAAATGAGTAATGATTATTTAAAATTTGAATAGCATGACCAAATTTTCAGGCTGGTTGTACTACTGATAACTAAGTCAATGGTGTACTGATTATCTAAGAATGTATATAGTAACCGTAGAAACTAGAAATACATGCATGCAGTAACCCCTCACCAATATTTCCATGTATTAAACATGAAGTATTCAGAAATGACCAGCACTGAACGCAGGCTCGTGCTCAAGTGTTGCCATGACAACACGATATTCTTAAATTTTTATTTTCATATATTTTGTAGAAAACTGCAAAATAGTTGAAAGATTCGTACTTTTAACTATACAACAATAAATTTCCGAAATATATACTGTAGGTATATTATTTTGCATTTTGTGAGCTTTGATCTAATGTAAAATTTAACTTGAAACTCTTCGTAAAATGTTTTGAAATGTTCATTCAAGTAAACTACATTTTGCCGATAAAGTGTTTTTACTTAACAAACATGATAAGTTTAATACAAATAAAACAAATTGTTAGGTAATTTGAGTTCAATCTTCAAATCAATTTGTTCGCCTTTACATTTTAAGATTTTTTGTCAAATTAAACGGTAATTTATGAAACTTAGAGCTTCTATAGTTCATATTTTTTATTACGTAAAAAGTTCAGCGTAAACATTTTAAAAATATTCAAAGCAAACATGCCATATATTTCCCGATTTCCCGATAAACCAATTCTTCTCATTTCTTCAAACAAAATTGCTTCAAGCTTGTTGTATATGAAACGATTTTCCAAATATATGTCTTTTAAAATTGAAATCTTGCTTGCCATATTTTTGAGATAAGTGAGGATGACCACCCACTCAAGATCGTCGCTCGTTGGTTAGCGCCCGCGATGATTGATGAACTCTAGACTTTGCTAATGCTTTCGTTTCCCCGGGTGTACATATCCTGGGGGAATTAGTACCCTCGCATGGGGCTTCACACCGTCAGCTCGGGGATAAAGACATTTTGCAAATAGTGATTTGAGTGTTCTTTTGTGGGTATCACAGACTTATTCTGGTGCCATACTATCCTTGGAGAGTAAGAAATGTACTAAACGTTTATTTTGCCATGCCAAACAAACTAAATTTTCATTTTGTCGAGTTCACATTTCTCCACCTTAAGTTTTATTTCCTGTAGTCCTGCAAGGTCGAGCATGTGTAAGTTTTATTTTCAAGCAAATGTTCAAGTAAAGGAACCGAGGAAAAATAGTTATCAAAATAGAAATGACGGTAAGTATTATAGTAGGGTTGTCCCAGGAAATCAACAACTTTAAAACTGAGACCTTGTGCCTCTTCCGCATCATTTTCGGCATTTTGTTGTTTACCTAAGTAAACTTGAAAGCGTGGCACGAAATAAGCTTCACAATCGGCTAACATCCAGATTTTGATACCAAATTTATTCGGGTTTTTGGGCATATCTTGCTTGAAAGATAAACAACATTTAATTTAATCAAACCTTCATCAATTGAAATATTTTTTCCAGGCACATAAACATCTTGAAAAACATTTTCGAACTTTGAAATTTATTAGTTGGGTTTTCTTGCTGCAAGTCCGAAATATGAAAATACTTGTTTAAAATCTGGAAAAGTTTCGAAGGAATTGTGGTTTTGAAACCAAATTGAATTTGAAAATAAATTTTAATCCCAGTGTGACCGGATTTTTGGAAGTTTGTTTATTCGCATCAAAATATTCAAGCCAAAAAATGCAGACATTTTGTCTCGGTCGGTTGTAAAATTTGGATCGGTGCATTCGAACGCATTCGAACGCATTGCCACTTCCCCCTTGCCAATCTCAGGGGGCATTACCGCATAATGAGTTAAACAATTTAATATAGTAAAAAAAGGATAATCAATAAAAATAGACTGAAAGTATATGCTGTATTGCTTCATTATGCGCAAGTGATTTTGAAGCAATTATAAAGCAAACAATTATTAAATATTTAAAACAAAACTTACCTTCATTAACGTTGGCGCCTTCACTCACTTCTTCAGTAGCAATTCTTTCGCCTTTTAATATTTTATCAAAAAGCTTTCGAAATTTACAAAATCTTGCAAAAATGAAATATATTTGCAAGAAACCATCAAACTATTTAGACTTGATTTTAGTCTTTTAATATGTAGCAGTTCTTTGAAAGTAGGCCAATAAATTCCAGTTTCTGGAAGCATCGATGACCTTAATGCTTGAGAGTACAAGTTCTGTCAGTTGTGTGTTTGATTGTGATGTCAAGAATGTTCTGTAATGTTCAATAATTGTTCAATAATATAAATATTTACAATTTACTATGATTTAACTAGTAATTGAAACAAATAAACTTAGTTATAACTTTGGTAATCAGCACGTTATCAGTTTCATTCTATATAGCTGTTCTCTATACTTCTAAATTTAGTAAGTTTTAAGGCCCATACAGACAAACAATCTTGCCTTGACGACTACACTTGCTTGTGTGCACGACGAACAAGTTTTTCTTCACAAGTTTTCCTTGATGAGTTTTATTTGCCCGTGTACTGTACGGCAAAAAATTGACAATGTTTCCTTGACAAGTTTTACGAGCCCGCATTATACAAGTACGTAAACAGTCTGGAGAAACTTCATTTATATTATGCGCAGACACAAAGCCTGTATCAAAGACTCAAAGTATACTTTATAAGTTTGTTGTATGGCCGCCATTTCACAATAGTTTCACGAAGATTTAATACAATGCCGTTTTTGACAAGAAAACAACGATATCTTGCGTGTGGTGTAGAAATAAGCCTTCTCCTACAGTACGAACACACAAAACGTCATATAGGGCGAAGATGGTGGGTTAAGGCTGTGGGGACTACAGAGCGCTGTCAAGGTCTGGCAAACAACTTGATATCGGAGTTAAAAGAAAATGACCAACAAAGCTTTCAAAACTTTTTTTGAGTTCTTGTTATGGTATTATGCTTATATACACCTGCTAGTTTGTTAATTAATTTATTAAATATTTGAGACTGGCTACATTATTTTTGCTTTGTACTTTGTCACTTTTTTTAGAGTGTTTTATTGCAGAATGCAGCCATGCACCTTTGATGAAATTCCAGTAAAGATCAAACCAATTATTCAGTGACAAAACACCAACATGAAAAATTTTCTCTTATTCTTCGGTTTTTGGCCTCAGGGGCATTGTACAAAGACTAGCATACTCTTTCCGCATTTCTGCCTCCACCATCTCACAAATACTCCCAGAAGTAGGCAAAACTTTGTATGACACACAGAAGATGAATGGCTATGTGTTCTATCTTCAAGGGAACAGTGGCTCAAAATTGCTAACAAGTCTCAAGAAAAATGGCAATTTCCTCACTGTGTGGGAGCCATTGATGGCAAGCACATCGACATCTGTGCTTTGCCAAATACAGGCTCTGAATATTTTAATTATAAGAAACATTTTAGTATTGTTTTATTGGCTGTAGTTGATCCAAGTGTACAATTTATAGCATTTCAGTTAGGTGATGCGGGAAGCCAATCATATGGTGGAATTTTTAAGCATGGTAGCCTAAATACATTATGTAAATCAGAGTTATTTCCCCAAGCAGGTTGTTTACCAGCAACAAGTTTTGAAGTTCCATATTTATTTATTTATTTATGTAGCTTTGCCAACTAGGGCAGGGTCACCACAACAGCATATGCCAATTACTGTGGGCCCTTTTTACCTAACCCACCATGTCAACTTTCCCTGTGGGAGGAAACCGGAGTACCCGGGGAAAACCCACGGCTTTCGGCAGAGTGTTGACTTTTACTCTTTTCACATGGGGACTGGGTTCGAGTCGCACTGAGAGGGTACTTAGTGAGACTCGAACCTGCAGCCTCAGAGGTGAAAGGCAAGTGCGCTAACCACTTGGCCACCGAAGCCCCCTAAAGTACAAAACAGACGCAAAACTATGAGCTAAAAGCTCTAGAATTTGTCCAGCACCAACTCGTAAAAGACCCTGGCTGCGGCTGGTCACATGCCTCATGACCTCGTGCCTCTATTATCCCCTAGCTGACGGCGCAAAGGGTACTAATTCCCCCTGGCTATTTACACCCGGGGAAACGAAAGCATTGGGGAAGTCTAAAGTTCATCAATTATCGTGGGCGTGGGTGACCAACCATGGGTGGTCATCCTCACTGATCTCAAAAATATGGCGGACTGTCATGAATAGCAGACACTGATTGGTCCAATTTAAATTTGCATTATAACGACTGCATGACGACAGCAAAATAGCAAACATTTCTTGATTTGTGACGAGATCGAAGCAACAAGATCGAAGCAAGAAAGGAGGGAGAGACGGACTTGGCTCACCTGCAATGTTTCGAATCAGATTTATTATTTTGGCGGAAATTATGTTAATAGTAAGGTGTTATTAATTTAGTGATTTTGTTACAAATGCGGAAACCGTAAGTTATTAAAATACCTGTCGCGATCGAAACAAAATAGTCTAGCATTGAAAATATAAAAATATAGAGGTCAAACAAAATAAAGTTAACTTAAGGTTACAGGACACCTTTTTGGCGTTTTGTGGAAAATCACTACTGCGCGCTCAATATCAGTCCGATTTTCATCAAATGTTCACCAAATGTTAGCCAGTGCATGCAAAATATGATAAAGTTGTAAAATTGACAAACAATAAAATAATGTAACAATTATTCAGGAAAATCTTTAGTCGCGGTACCTTTAACGCTTTTGAGTTATGTTCCTGCTGGTTTTAAGATATATTTATGAAAATATCATTTTTATACAGTAAAATAGTTGTTCTAAAAAAATTAGAACAAAGCCGAACACAATTTTGAAACTGACTTCTTTTGCTATGTCCTGTGAAAATTTGAGAAAAATTAGTTAAAACCCACAGGAGCACAACTCGTTTGAAAATCAGTAATTGCTTCGGGAGAAAATTGAATTTGAATATTACATTTTCGATGTTTTTCTTCTTAATACTAGAAGTTGCTATCGCAAGGAAAATGCTGCCTCACCCCCAAGGGCTGGTACCATGCACAATTTGCTGAATAAGGGGCAGTGTATGCGATCCCGTTTCGCCAGGACGAGATGAGGAGGGATGATTTCGATGAATTGAAATAAGTCACAGTGCACAATTCACCAAAAAACATTTTCTAGAGATAGATTATAGTTAACTGTGAACAAAAGGTTGTTCAACCAGCAATTTTAATCTTCTTGAACTACAAGATCTTCTCCACAATATTTGAGTTCTGTTAACAAGCAATTGAACTTTTGTTTAGCCCAGTCATTTATTCCAATACATCAAAAATCATCCCACATTCCATCATGTAAACAGCCTCTAAGGTCTACACCTGTTCAGGAGGTAGGAAAAGTGCAATTTGAATATCAATCACCTTGCACAAGGTAGAAAGGCAGCTAAATATTCTAATTCTACTTTCTTGGCATGGGCAGTGTATAGTAATTCATTCAATGCTTAAAACTTCTTGCTTTTGTATGTATAGTTATAACACTGTCGGTGGTGAAGCTAGCCATAGCAACAGGTCATGCTATGCAAGCTTTTAATGATTTGCATTATTCAAATAGATGCAGCTTTATTGGCATGGCATGACCAGTTGCCATGGTAGCTAGCTTGCCACTGAATACTGTATATACTGTAATACTGTAACCAGGTATTCGGAAAGTCAAATCGCGATCTGGAGTATGTTATTTTTACTCTAAAATTTCTGTGACGTCAAAATATGTCATCCAAACATTCGTACGTACATTGCAAATAAAATCGAGTTGTCGTTCGGCTATACATAACTTGGCCAAAGAGACTGGGCACACATAAACACAATACTTCATGTTAAGAATAGTGTGCTGCCTTCGGCAGCAAATATATAATGTTCATCGTAGATCATCATATGGACAGCAGACAAAGTAACAGTATATATTGTGTTCATTGTAGATCATCAGCATATGGAACAGCGGTACAGAGTAACTTAATAATATATCATGTTCATCGTAGATCATCATATGAAACAGCAGCACCAAGTAACTTAATACTATATAATGAGCAGCTGGGAAATTTGTTACCGCTGTGCGTAAATAGCGCTGGCAGTCGAATAAAAATCATATTTTCAAATTATTTTCAAAGATGCTCGGAATGCAGTTGCTTTGACGAGCAGGTTGATGTTATTTATAAATATATTTTTTAAATTGGAAAATATTGATGTGGCTACGTCTGTCTATCTTATACAAATGCGATGATGTTGTTTTCTTGAAGAACATTTTCAAAGCTTGACAGGAGAGTGGTTTGCACGAGGCTGAACCAGTCGTGTAAGCACATGTTGTTTATGACTCGAGATCTTGGTGACAGGTCTCGGGTTCATCATCAATGGAATAGCAATCAATGGTAGTACCATGATGAGGATTAAAAAAAATGACATAAGTTTTATCGATGATCAACCGCGGACAGTGGTAAACATATAAATTTCAAATTCGAACAAGGACATGGCCGAAATACTCAAGCTGAATTAAATTCTTCTTGGCCCGTTTAGCCTTGATTGCTGCAAACAGTAAGTGGAATAGATTTTATTATATAAATCATGTTTTGACTCTTTAGTTCATTTATTCAATGAGTAATTGCTGGGAAATCGTTGAATGAAAACACTGACGCATGTGGATATGTCCAAAATTTAGCGCCATGTTGAATTTTGGTTTTGACTGAATACAAATAAATCCAGCTTTTGCTCCAAAATATTATTTGTTCCCAGCTGTTTCCAACATGTTTATCTCCCTTTTAGAGGCAAATTTTGTGGTTTTAAAATTCCGGTAAAGGTTGAAAATTAGCTTTGAAATTGAAGTGCACACAAATGTATATTAAATCATGGTTGTTGTTGAAATGCCGTGGACGCGATATTGTACTACTACAACATACCAGCAATAATTTAAATCGTTTCTTTGATGATATATAATTTTGTTTTACCGCAAATAGTAGGATCTAATTCATCATATTGGTGTGTTTAGTCGATTGATTTCATTGTTGCTTTGTTTTGTTATCCGAGGAGAGACATTGACTAGTTTGAATTGAATTTGAAAACATTCTGCCTTCTGCTCCAAATGATTTCCGCTGAAATTTAATCTTGAAGTTTATGTCTAAACACTTAATTTGTTGTTTTTCTCTTAAAAATTAAGCTGAAAGGTCTTTGCGTTGAATAAAAACTGCTTGCATCTTGGTGCCAAAATGTAACATGTCGACTTCAGTAGGTCAGGTTCATGCATGAAATCGAACAGTTTGTATTTTGTAGTATCTTGCTGACCACGATGGAAATATTTAGCATTAGGCGGTAAATAAACTTGTTTGCTGCAAAATTACTTTAAAATGAAATTAAGTCACATTTATTTATCAGACTGCAGTAGTGTGAAACAGATTTGACACCATGTGGATTTAATGACAACATGAAAACTTGCATAAAAAGAGGGCCCCCTATACCTCTTCACAATATGCTTTCACGTAAAAATATTTTGCTTTTTCACGAGTCACGGATTAAGAAAATCATGGATCATGTTTCACGGCTAAGTAAAATAAGCCCTTCACGCAAAACGTATAGGGGGCCCAATCACGTTTCACGGCGAAGTAAAATAAGCCCTTCACGCAAAAAGTATAGGGGGCCCTCTAAAAATGCAAGCACATTAATAACATTTATTTTAAAATGTAAATTGGTATTAACATATGACTCAATGTACTAAACAGTTATATTAATTATCCAATGCAAGTTGTGAAAAGTTGCAAACATCTAATGTCCCAGTTGTCTGAAGAATTTGACACCATGTGGATTTAATCACAACGTGAAAACTTGCATAAAAATGCAAGCACTTTAATAACATTTATTTTTAAATGTAAATTGGTATTAACATATGACTCAATGTACCAAACAGTTATATTAATTATCCAATGCAAGTTGTGAAAAGTTGCAACCATCTGATGTCCCAGTTGTCTGAAGAATTTGACACCATGTGGATTTAATCACAACATGAAAACTTGCATAAAAAATGCAAGCACTTTAATAACATTTATTTTAAAATGTAAATTGGTATTAACATATGACTCAATGTACTAAACAGTTATATTAATTATCCAATGCAAGTTGTAAAAAGTTGCAACCATCTAATGTCCCATTTGTCTGAAGATAGTAAAAAAAATCATCGATGTTTTTGGATCTGCAAACTATTATTATTCCCCCATTTTGTCCATGTCCATGGCTGTCGAAAACTGCAGCTTCGTCGTTATCTGATAGCAATGCCACAGACTTATTGGTGGGAAAATTAACACTCCAGCTTGTCTTCCTTCACACTGCAGCAACTGACATCATGTTTTATGTATGTCTTCAGCATAGAAGAATCCAAGATCTTTGACCATTGTAAGCTTCAAATCCACAATTTTCTTCAAAACATCACAGACTTCCAGATTGGGTTGGTTACAAGGGAGCCAAAGACCACCATGCAGCATATTTGTTGTCATGATTAACTGTTTGAACTTGTTGATCGCATTTCATAGCTCAGCATCTAATGGGATCTCTAATTCTCTCTAAGGAAGCTCCTACAACATAGTGCTGCAATGACGGTACATGCATTGCTTGCTAGTGTTTTTCCACATATACGGGTCTGGCAAATGTTTGTTGGTAACAACCATTCAGTTATTCCTGGGAGATCATTTCTTGTAACAACTTCAATTCTTTGTTGAAGTGTTTGTCGTACAGGTTTTTAACGCATCTTGCTAGGTTGGGCCTCTTCCTGGGACATGTTATTCTGTGCATGACTTTGATCATTAGCAGGTTGAGTTACGACACGTACCGGTACTTCAGCATGTGTTCAAGGTTGTGGTGGAGATTTTAAAGAAGAATTTTTACTGTTTATATCATTAACAGTTTCATTGATTTTTTGCAGGTTAACACATTCTGGAATTTCTGGTGCTTTCATGGTGTTGGTGTCTTCCGTGTCTGCATCTGTGCAGTCATTGGTACTGGTTACACCGTCATTTCGTGGATGCAAAATTGCCTCTTTAGCCACCAGTCCTAATTCCTGAACTTGTTTGGTCAACAATTCCTTACATAAAGGCGTACCATTCAAACATGTTTTGTGAAACGAGTGCCAACATCCATGGAATAGCTGCCATAGTTCATGTGGATTGTTAACGGTGCATGATTTATTGTCACATCTGCAGTTTTCATTTCGAACTGTGGTAGCATTAAAACCGAGTGGAAGAATTATGTATTTCATCTTTATCATTCCAAATATATCAGGTAAGCAAAATATATCAGGTTGCTGTGCAGGGCTGCGGACATCGGCAAATGTCCGAGCAAAAGTAATTTTGATTGGACATTGGTACAATCAAAAAAATATATTGTCAGATTTAAATACATTGTTTGCTGTGACAAAATCCGATTGCAAATTCACTCAATTTGCATTTTGCAATAATTCTTAATTTTATGCATAAAGAAACTGTTTAAGAAGCTGTTTTAAATTCCCACACAAAATCGCGCACTTTTTACAAGGAGATGTTTTTAACTAAATTTTAATATATGCACTTTGTCAATATTTTATGCATCATTACGTTCAGCTGTTTGGAAGGGCATTCAAATTTTAACAATAGTGATTTCAATAGTTTTCGGGTTTTTTTGGGACACCCTGTATATATCTTGTGACATATACAGGGTATAAAAAAAAATGCAACCTCAGAATTTTCCAAGAAATCGACATTGTTTTAAAGACAAAAGATTGTAGGCACCTGAGAATTTAAAATAGCACAACTGTCAAAATTGCTGCACACGCGAGTGCATAAAGCAAAACTTATGCATTTAATGCACAACAACAGTACTATGATCTACAGATGTATAAAAAAACACAACCTCGAAATTTCCTAAGAAATCACTTTGCAATTCTTAAGCATAAAAGATTTTAGGCCCCTGGGAATTGAAATCGAATTGCTAATAGATCATATTACTGTTGTTGTGCATTAAATTAAATAAATGCATAAATTTTGCTTTATGCATTCGCATGTGAAGTAATTTTGACAGTTGTGCTATTTTAAATTCCCAGGCGCCTAAAATCTTTTGTCTTTAAAACAAGGTCGATTTCTTTGGAAATTCCGAGGTTGCATTTTTTTTATACACCCTGTATATGTCCGACCAGATTCAAGTTATGTCTGACCAAAATGAAAAGTGATCGGACAAATGTCCTGTCAAGTCAAATATTTATTTGCAGCCCTGCTGTGGATCATTGAAAGTATGCTTGTCAAGAATTGTGCACATTTAGCTTTTATAAACTGTAGCTGCTGTTGGGAGAAATTGAAGTGCTTGGGAGGGGTAAATATAGAATGGAAGTTGGCTTGTCTTTGTTTGGACTCAAAAATACTTTTGGCCCTATTTGTCAACTTCTCAGCCATGTCTGATGGTTTCGTCTGTGCCCAGAGAATACTGTGTGTATTTTCCACAGGATATTCGTCAAATATTGTTGGCCACTTGCAGAAGTGATCATACAGTTCACTGTAATTTTTAGCCCAGTGATTGGTGCAGGACAACCATACAAGTGGTGCTTTGTTGTAATGATGACACTTGAGGCACACAAACATCACCCATATTCTAACCATAGCATTGTAATATTCCTTGAAGTTATTTCTCTTAAAAGTTATTGTGTAAATTGACATAACAAGTGGGAGGTAGTTATCCAGAAGGTTAAGAAGTGTTCCATAAGATCTTTAGAATATTGGAACAATACTTTAGCTCTTTCTCTGATAAGGGTCCAACCACCGTAAACTATTTCTAGAATCAAATTTATTCTCCATGGCTTGGGTGTTTCTGCCAATTTACATCTTGGGAAAAGGTGACAGTACACTTTCATAAAGAATGGTTTGAAACTCATGAAAATATGTTCTCTGCTGTTTAGTGAGATATGGAATGAGCCCATGGTTGGAACAACAGATGTTATAGATGGTGCAGGAACATTCAACATTGGTTGGTGTGGTGTACTTGAAGTTGGACCATTGGAGGTAATGCTTCCAGAATTTATCTGAAATTTTTTTGTCTGATGGCCAACTATCTGCCTACCATAACATTGACTAGGCCAATCTCCAGGCTGGACCACAACAAACTTCTTTAGATATTTTTTCAAACCACCGGCTAAGGCCATATAATATGCAGTAGCAAACTCTTCCTTGGACTTCAGTTGCAGCTCAATAAAGTTTATCAAATGTATAATATACTCAGTCTCGGGTAGTTTAATCAGCACTTTATTGACATACGTATGCTATTTATACAAACTGTTATGAATATATTACAATGACTAATTAGGACAACTGATTAACATATATTACACAATCTTGACTATACTACATATCTTCCCCCTAAGTTTATTTATTTATTTTTTTTGTCCGTTTTCTAAACTTACGTTTCTTAAAAATGTGTCAATAAATAATCTAATTAAATAATCGTCTTGAATATTAACACTTAGAATGTCAAAGTTCATAATCGTCTAGTTTCTTGGGTCTTCTCCTTTCTCTCGTCGGATAACGTCGAGTTTGAGTTTCAGGAGCTTGAGTTTCAGGAGCTTGAGTTTCAGGAGCTTGAGTTTCAGGAGCTTGAGTTTCAGGAGCTTGAGTTTCAGGAGCTTGAGTTTCAGGAGCTTGAGTTTCCTCTGTGGAAGTATTACTTTCTTGAATTTCTTCGGGAGCAATAATACTCGAATCTTTAGTGCTCGAGGAACTTATTTGGTCCTGATGACGTCGTACAATTTTTCCATCATCTAATGCAACTTTCGCAGAAATTGGGCCCGTAGACTCAACGACTTTTCCAGCAGTCCATGGAAACTTCGGGTTTGAATAATTTCTCACGAAAACATCGTCACCAATGGAGACTGAACGCTGTCTTACGTGTTCATCACAATGTCTCTTCTGCTTATGTTGAGCATAACGTACAGTTTTCCCAACATCTGGCTGTAATAATGTCAAGTGTGATCGTAACTTGGTTCCCCATCTTAATTCCGCGGGCGATATACCTGTCGTGGTATGCGGTGTGGTTCTATACTTAAATAGGAATCGAGATAAACGAGTTTGCAAAGTTCCACTCTGCTTCTTCATCGCTTTCTTGAACGTTTGCACAGCTCTTTCGACTAAGCCATTCGTTGAAGGATGATAAGGGGCAGATTTTACATGTCGAATTCCATTATTTTTCATGAATTCCTCGAATTCCTTGCTCACGAAAGCTGGACCATTATCAGAAACTACCATCTCCGGTAATCCATGATTTGCAAATGTCATGCGGAGTTTCTCGACCGTTGACTGAGTATTGCACAAGTTGGTTATGTGAATATCCAACCATTTCGAGTGAGCATCGATTATCAGTAAAAACATCTTGCCCATAAAAGGGCCTGCGTAATCGATATGTATACGGGACCATGGTCGGTGTGGCCATTCCCAGGGATGTAAAGGTACTCTTTGGGGTGTCCTCTGGTGTACTTGACATGTTGAACATTTCTTTGCCTTTTCTTCTATTTCTTTATCGATTCCTGGCCACCAAACATGTCCACGAGCTAAACTTTTCATTCGTGACATTCCCGGATGAGTATCGTGTAAAAGATTCAGGACGTCCGTTCTTCCTTTGGGAGGAACCACTACCCGCGATCCCCATAACAGACATCCATCTTGAACACTAATCTCGTCTTTTCGTGTGAGGTAAGGCTTAATGTTCTCATCATTCACTTGCGATGGCCACCCTTGAAGTGTAAACTTAAGTACTCGTGATAGTACGGGGTCTCGCAAGGTCCACTGTTTGATCTTCAAAGCATCCACTGGACTTTGATTGAGGTGGTCCACCAAATTTACTACTTCTTGTGGTATTGGTGTAGACTTTGGCTCAATTTTCAAAGGTAGTCTGCTAAGAGCATCTGCATTTCCGTTTTCTTTACCAGGACGATATATCAGGTCATACTCGTACGCTGCTAAAGTCAAAGCCCATCGTTGAATTCGGCCGGATGCCATTAATGGTACGGGTTTCTCACATTTGAAAATCCCAAGTAGTGGCTTGTGATCAGTGTAAATAGTGTAATGTCGGCCATATAGAAATTGGTGGAATTTCTTGACCGCAAATACCATAGCCAATCCTTCTTTATCCAGCTGAGAATACTTCTTTTCGGCAGATGTCAATGTTCGCGATGCAAAAGTAATCGGTCGTTCACTCCCATCTGGCATCTCATGAGATAAAACCGCTCCAACACCATAGGGTGAAGCATCACAGGATACGGTTAATTTCTTGTTTGGGTCATAATGGACTAACACTGTTGCAGATTGTAACAAAGTCTTAGATCGTTCAAATGCACGAATCTGTTCTGTGTTCCATTTCCATCTCTGATTCTTACGAAGTAGCTGGTACAGTGGCTCTAACTCAGTTGACAGATTTGGTAAGAATTTACCATAGAAATTGAGCAATCCCAAGTATGCTTTCAACTCGGTAACATTGGTAGGTGTAGGTGCTTCTTGAACTGCTTTCACCTTGGCTTCAACTGGATAAATACCCGTTTCGTCGATACGGTAACCCAAACACTCGAGGGTAGGTTGCATAAAACGACACTTCGACTTCTTTAGACGTAACCCAGCTTCAGAAAGACGCTTCATCACTTCTTCCAGGTTCTGAAGGTGTTCTTCATCCGTCGGTCCAGAAATCAAAATGTTATCAAGAGGATGCCAGTGTATGGAATTCCGTTGAGTAAACTTTCCATCGTTCTTTGGAAAATTCCAGGCGCAGATGATACACCATATGGCAGACGGTTGTACCGGTACAAACCACGATGCGTGTTTATCGTTACCACGTCCTTCGAGGCGTCGTCCAGGACCATCTGTTCGTAAGCGTGGCTTAAATCGAGCTCAGTGAATGTTTTCCCTCCTGCCAGTTTATTGTGAACTTCTTCGATCTTAGGTAAAGGGTAGGCATCCAAACGGGAAACTTTGTTCACAGTCCTTTTGTAGTCCCCACACAATCGAACACTTCCGTCAGGTTTCATGATTGGTACCACTGGCGTTGCCCAATCTGAATACTGTACGGTTTCAATTGTTCCTTGTCTTTCGAGCCTTTCGAGTTCCTTTTCAATCTTAGGTTTCATCGTGTATGGTACCGACCGAGCTTTACAAAAAATCGGTTTCGTTGACGGGTCGACGTAAATCTTGGCAGTCACGCCATTCAATTTGCCTAATTCGTCTGTAAACAAGTCGTCGTACTTGTTTAAAACCTCTTCTAAGTTAGGCTTGGCTAGTCGTTTGATGCTTGTCCAATTTAAGCAAATGTTTTCAAGCCAATTTCGACCAATCAAATTAGGACCATTGCCTTTCAGCACCAATAAGGGTAACCGACTAACTTGGTTATTGTATTCGACCACCACTTCAGTAATTCCCTTCGGAGATATTTTCTCACCAGTGTAGGTACGTAAGGAAATTTCAGTTTGTTTTAAGTCGAGATTTCCTTTACCGCGACTAATTTCTTGCAATGTTTTCTCATTAATCACCGAGAACGATGCTCCCGTATCAATCTCCATGTTGATATCAATACCATTCACTGTCATTTTTTCGCGATACGGCGGTGTTTTCTCTTTGTCTTTGAAGCTGAATAAATTATACGCTAGCTCTTCGTCGCTTTGATGCTGTTCAACTTTATTCATTTCCGAATCCCGTCCTTTTTCCCCCGAAAGTTTTTCCCTTGCTTTAGTCGTTTCTCGCTTGAAACCTTCTTAGAACTTCGGCACACTTTCGCTATGTGTCCAATTTTACCGCATTGATGGCACTTTTCAGTTTTAAAACGGCACTTTGTATGGTCGTGTTTACCACCACAACGATAACATTCTTTGTATTCGTCGCTGTGTCTACCGCCGTGTAATTTATTCATCGAGTGTTTATTTGGCATTTCTCCCTTCAAGTCACGAACATCTTTAGCGGCTGTTTCCATCCCGTGTGCAATTTCTAAAGCTCGTTTAAAATCTAATGTCGGTTCAGCCAGTAAACGTCTCTGTATTCGATCTTCGTTGACACCACAGACTAATCGATCTCTCAACATTTCATCTAATGCACTACCGAACTCACAATGTTCAGACAATGCCCGAAGTTCGGCCATAAAAGTCGAGATTGATTCGTCGTTTCTTCTGACCCGAGTATTAAATTTATAACGTTGTACAATTACTGATGGCTTCGGAACATAATGGTTTTTTATAGCTTCAGATAATTCTTCATATGACAATTTGTTCGGAACCTCTGGCCGTATTAAACCTCGCAGTAGTTTATAGGTTTTCGCACCTATAACACTCAGGAAAATCGAACGTTTCTTATCTTTGTCTTCGATATCATTCGCTTCGAAATAGTGATCCATTCGCTCCACATACTGTGTCCATTCTTCACTCTCGTCGTATTCATCTATTCGACCGTACGTAGCCATGTTACGCCTTAATTTTTTTACCTTCGTCGCCAATATAATATACTCAGTCTCGGGTAGTTTAATCAGCACTTTATTGACATACGTATGCTATTTATACAAACTGTTATGAATATATTACAATGACTAATTAGGACAACTGATTAACATATATTACACAATCTTGACTATACTACAAAATGAAGGTTAACATCCATCGTCCTCATGTGTCGCATGCCGCTGTCATCACAATAAAGGTGCTTTTCTAGAATGTGCCTTTCTAGGTCAGGTTGTAATTCGGTATTCATACCTTCCTGGTTGACATTATTGGAGTTTAAATATATTGCATGGTCTACATGCATGGTGTTGCAGAGTTGACTAAGGCAGTAACACATTTTGTAAATTATGCACACTTTCCTTTTTTTGTTGAGTGCCGCTCTCTGGTAACATTATAATGTGATTGAATATATTCTCGGCTTCGGCTGAGTGGCAAAATTCAGTGAATTGATCTGGGTTGTAAATTGGGGGGAGGGGTGTTTTTGTATTATGAATTCCTCATAGATTTTCCCTTTTACCCTGTCAAGCTCATATTTAAGGGTCACATCTGGCAAAAACTGGCAGAATTATAGTATTTTTCATTTCAACTTTGTTAAAGACCACCCTAAGCAGAAACCATTTTTTCCTCTTTAATACAGCTGCACTATCTATTACTGTAATAATCCCTTTACATTCTATAATGTACATTCATTTTATTTAGACATAGTTTCAGAAAGTTTTCTGAAGCTTTCATCGATTTCTTTCAACAACCCAGGAGGTAAAATAACTTCCCCATTGGAAGATCTTTTGATGATGCCAAAGCAGGTGTATTCCTCCATCCATTCAGACCTTTGTATCAAGTGCATTTTTAGGAAATTGTAGCTTTCTTTTGACTGGCCTACCAACCCTCTTCCTCTTGCTTGCAGAATCCACTGAATTGCGGTCGTTTCGCCAACGAGTCGTTTCGCCAACGAGTCGTTTCGCCAACAAGTCGTTTCGCCAACTGTCAGTTCGCCAACGTCTCAGGTCGATTCGCCAACGTTCGTCCACATTCTTATGTCAGTTTGCAAACGTTACATATATATGAGACATGCATGGATATATAAATCTATAAATGTTTGTAGAAAATAACCGAAATAGCAAATTCTCCAGACATTTATGTTTAGACGGTCTAAAACAGGTTTAATCAGCGGATGCTAAACAAGGGCTGTAACTCACGAAATGCGAAAGTTTTTATGCATATGATATACCATTCAAGTAAACACAACTGAAAAGTTTTCAAACTGAGAGTCAAACAATACGAATTACGAAGATTAGCCATACTCTTCATTAACAAAATTTCACAACAGAGCTAGTGACGCTTTTGATCACCAACGTTCCAACATATTTTCTACAAACATTGTTTGCGTTTCATGGTTTCACATTATAAAGACGTGAACTATTAAATAATCGTGGATTGTAAAATAATTGTAAACCATGGATTGTTTATTTTACAATCCATGATTAAATGTTGCGTTGGCGAACTGACATAAGAACGTGGCAGACCGTTGGCGAATCGACCCGAGACATTGGCTAACTGACAGTTGGCGAAACGACTCGTTGGTGAAACGACCGGTTACCAAATCCACTACAAGCTGTAAATTAAATTATAGTAATTACTGTAGGTGTATGTTTGCAGCCTTAATTTTTTTTATCAAGCCTTACAATGCATGTATAATAGAATTCTGTAATAAAATAGAAATACAATTAAAAACCAATGTACATTATTTAGATTCAGTATATATTTTAAAGAGTTAAATTATCTACTGTACAATGGACCAACTGAAGCTAGCTGACTGTCAGTAAGTTAAATGCAGTTTACAAGGTATATGTTTAAAGAATAATATTTAATTGTATAAGAATAAAGATACATGGACGAATGTTTTCCCTGTCTTTTTGTAATGATAAACAGCTCTACGGCAGGCCAAACAAAGTATACCTGGCTCGTCATACGACATGCCGAAGCAAGCTTCAAGGTCATGACATTGTGGAAGGTTTTTTCGTGTTTCCAATTTCTTGTCTAAATATTTGCAGCAAACTATACACTTAGGACTTTTTTAGTTGCAACTGAAGAAACTAAATGAATTATAAGCGGGAGAAAAGGCAAAAGGCATTTAAAAAAGTTTGCTGCCATCTTTGTTTATTACGATTTTTAAATTTCCTGTGAGCGCCACACAATTTTCACGCACCCACACAATTCTCACTTGCGCATGCTCAGACAAATTTCCCAGCTGCTTATATAATGTTCATCATAGATCATCATATGGAACTTATTGGAACAGCAGCACAAAGTAACGTAATATATCATGTTCATCGTAGATCATCAAAATAAGATAGATAATGTTTACGTTAGAACATCTTGAACCAGTAGTGTGTACGAACAAGGTTAAAGTTTACGTTAGATCATCTTGAACAAGAAAGGTGGACAAAGAAGGTGTTATATGATGTTTACTTAATTTAGATCATCTCAAACCAGCAGTGTGGACGAAAAATGTTATATAATGTTTAAATAATTTAGATCATCTTGAACCAGCAGCTTGGAGATCATCTTGAACCAGCAACGTTGGACGCGGAAAGTTAATTTTTATGTTAGATCATCTTGAACCAGAAGTGTGGATGAAGAAAGTTAAATAATATTTACATTAGATCATCTTGAACCAGAAGCGTGGACAAAGAAAGTTGAATAATGTTTACGTTAGATCATCTTGAACCAGCAATGTGGAACGAAGTAGGTTATATAATGTTTAAATAATTTAAATAATTTTGAACCACCGGTGTGGACGAAGTATGTTGTAAATGTTTAAATAATTTAGATCATCTTGAACCAGAAGCGTTGACAAAGAAGGTTATATGTTTAATTAATACTTGCGATAGATGAACCGGGTGAAAATCGTAATCTTAAGATAAATATTAATTATTGATAACAAAAATATAATTTAAAATATTAGAAAGCTAACGTTTCGTCTTTAACTTAAGACATCTTCAGACTAATTTTCTTCTGGGCATTAATGTTTAATTAATGTGGATCACCTTGAACCAGCAGCGTGGAGATTATCTTGAACCAGCAACATGGACGAAGGAGGTAATATAATGTCTAGTCAATTTAGATCATCTTGAACCAGCAGCAGGGTGGACAAAGAAAGTTAGATAGTGTTTATGTTAGATCATCTTCAACAAGAAGCGTGGATGAAGAAAGTTAGATAATATTTATGTTAGATCATCTTGAACCAGAAGCGTGCACGAAGGTTATATAATGTTTAATTAATTTAGATCATCTTGAACCAGCAACGTGGACGCAGAAAGTTAATGTTTATGTTAGATCATCTAATTGAATCAGAAGTGTGGACGAAGAAAGTTAAATAATATTTACGTTACATCATTTTGCACCAGCAACGTGGACGCAGAAAGTTAATGTTTATGTTAGATCATCTAATTGAACCAGAAGCATGGACAAAGAAAGTTAGATAATGTTTATGTTAGATCATCTTGAACCAGCAACATGGACAAAGTAGGTTATATAATGTTTAAATAATTTAGATCATCTTGAACCAGAAGTGTTTATGAAGAAGGTTATATAATGTTTAATTAGTGTTGATCAACACTAATTAAAACATCTTGAACCAGCAGCGTGAAGATCATCTTGAATCAGCAACATGGACGAAGGAGGTCATATAATGTCTAATCAATTTACATCTTGAACCAGGCAGCAGGGAGGACGAAGAAAGTTAGATAGTGTTTACATTAGATCATCTTGAACAAGAAGTGCAGATGAAGAAAGTTAGATAATATTTATGTTAGATCATCTTGAACCAGAGGCATGGACAAAGGTTATATAATGTTAAATTAATTTAGATATCTTGAACCAGCAGCGTGGAGATCATGTTGAACCAGAAGTGTGGACGAAGAAAGTTCGATAATGTTTACATTAGATCATTTTGAACCAGCAATGTGGACGACTAGGTTATACAGGGTGACTAAAAAAAACGCTATGGAAATTCAACAGGCTGTCGTGCATCATAAACTTAGCTAAGCAATTCAATTTTCACATAAGACGAAAGAGCTGTTATTTAGCTTCTCTATGATACCTTTTTAAATCGTAACGATGAGAAATGGCCAGATATTCGTTAAATAAAAATTGCCAGTCGAAATCACATTCTTCCACCGGAATTAGATTTATGAACTTAGAATTGTCTATGAACCGTAGACAATTCCCAAGAGGGAATTAAAATTGAATGTTAAATTGTCTAAAATGGCTCAACTCATGGTGGATGAGTTCCCATAACTCTTGAAGTAAAAACAGTGCAGTTATCTTGTCATCAGTCAACGGGGAAGCTTCTTGCGGTTTGTTCCCTTTACCAACTCTTTTTAGTTGCTTCTGTTTTGACTTCAAAACATCTCGAGTATTTGTAAAACTTTGACCTGTAATGACCAACTCACTGTATCTAAATTTTATAAGGTATCTGTCCGCAGAAGCTATAAAGCCTCGCAAAGTTGTCAGCTCATATTCTTCGCCAGACCTTTTTCTGACTGATAAAAGGAATTTAGATAAGTATCGATCTAAATCTGCTGGAGGAATTTCTTCTATGGCACTGGTTTCTCCCTTGTTCGCAAGAAAAAGTTCAACGAGTGCAATGTCATTTGCCATTTTTTTCTTCGTATTTGCTTCTTTGTCCACAAAACATTGAATGTCATCTTCACTGTGAGGTATGAAGCGATTTGATGACATACTTAAAAATTTTTGAAAGATATTTAACAAGAAAAGAACAGCCAATTTACACGAGATGAAAAACAAAACTCGGCTTGCATACTAATGAATTTTGTTACTGCCATAAACAAGAGAAGCAGCTCCATGATTGGTGGAAAAGCGATAATTTTCACATGTGAGATTATCACGAATAATCTCACATGTGTGATTATCACTTTTATCAGTGCTCGAAATCTCTGTAAAGCACTATACTTTATATAATAAATAATGTTTAATTAATGTAGATCATCTTGAACCAGCAGGGTGGACGAAGAAAGTTAGGTAGTGTTTACGTTAGATCATCTTGAACCAGAAGCATGGACAAAGAAGGTTATATAATGTTTAATTAATTTCGATCATCTTGAACCAGCAGCGTGGAGATGATCTTGAACCAACAACATGGACGAAGAAGGTTATATAATGTTTAATTAATTTAGATCATATTGAACCAACAATGTGGACGAAGAAAGTTAGATAATATTTACGTTAGATCATCTTGAACCAGCAGTGTGGACAAACAAGGTTAATATAATATTTGTGGTGTTACTCTGAGTGCATATCCACACCGGGCGAGCTTGAAAAATATGCCCGGCCACGGTGGGATTCGAACCTACGACCTTTGGAATACTAGCCCAATGCTCTTCCAACTGAGCTACGCGGTCAGGACGGTTCGAGTAAGTGATATTTCGGAACAGAATCTAGTTCCTTCAATACCAATGTATTCTAGTAATATGAATTTTTTCTGTGCTGGTGTAGTGTACTCAGGTGAATATGATATTTGTGGTGTTACTCTGAGTGCATATCTACACCGGGCGAGCTTGAAAAATATGCCCGGAAAAATATACACCAGCACAGAAAAAAAACAAGGTTAATGTTTACATTATATCATCTTGAACCATCAGTGTGGACAAACAAGGTTAATGTTTACATTATATCATCTTGAACAAGAAGCGTGGGCGAAGGTTATATAATGTTTAATTATAAGTAGGTCATATTGAACCAGTAACATGGACAAAGAAAGTTAGTTAATGTTTATGTTTGATTTATTTATTTATTTAGCTTTGCCAACTAGGGCAGGGTCACCACAACAGCATATGCCAATTACTGTGGGCCCTTTTTACCTTACCCACCCTGTCAACTTTCCCTGTGGGAGGAAACCGGAGTACCCAGGGAAAACCCACGGCTTTCGGCAGAGCGTTGACTTTTACTCTTTTTCACATGGGGACTGGGTTCGAGTCGCACTGAGAAGGTACTTAGTGAGACTCGAACCTGCAAGCCTCAGAGGTGAAAGGCAAGTGCGCTAACCACTTGGCCACCGAAGCCCCATCTTGAACAAGCAATGTGGACGAAGAAAATTAGTTAATGTTTATATTAGATCATCTTGAATGAGCAACATGGACAAAGAAATGTTTACGTTAGATCATCTTGAACCAGCAATGTGGACAAGAAGGTTATATGTTTAATTTAGATCATCTTGAACCATAGTGATATTTATTCGTGATCAGATTTTTGCAATCTTCCCCAGACTTGCATTTGCAATACTTGCAACATTTTATCCTGGCAACCCTGCATGGGCATACATTTTTTTTTAGCACACTTCCCACATTTACATGGATCAGGAAGACTGTCCCGTTTACTGATCACAATCTCAGGAACTAGTTCCCTGTCAATTCTTTCGAAACAGTAAGATTCGGCACTCATAAGCAGAGAAGCATCTCTAAATGGGGCTTGAATCCACAGTTCCATTTGGTAGTAACTCCTTTGAATATGTTTCCGCGCATTCGTTGAAGTGCAAACAGTTTTCTCGAAATCCAATTTGAGAGAATTACTGTCAAATGCTGCAAGACGTAGTTCATCAAATGTTTCCAATTCAGTTGATGGTTTCAGGCACTTAACCAAGAATAATTCTGCCATCTCTATTGCGCTCATATAAATGAATCAATTGATAAATCGCTTGTATATTTGTCGACGATTTCAAGTGGTAGGCTATTCCAGGACATTGCTCCTCGATATGAAAAACTATGTTTTAAGAAATTTGTTTTTGGTTTGTCAAGGTAAAGCTTTCGATTATTGCTTCTTAGACTGTATGTGGTATTGTTGTTAGTGGTGAATAGTTCAGTCAAATATGTTGGTACAATGCCTCTTAGTGCCTTAAAGGTCATTATTTGTTCCCTTTTAGTAAAAGTAGGTTCAATTGGCTCCCCCATTTCAGGTTATCAAATATCTTGTGTGATCTAATGTCATAACTTGAATTTGTTATCGCCCGCGCCGCTAGTTTTTGAAGTTTTTGTAGCTTTGTGATGTGCGAGTTGTTTCAATCATTCCATACAGTAGAACAGTATGTGAAATGTGGTAAAAGAAGTGATTTATACATTGTTAGTAATGTGTTTCGTGTTGCAAAAGGCTTTGCTCTTCTCAAGATGGCTATGCCCTTTGAGATTTTTTTACACTACATCATTATGATCATGCCACTTTAATTTGTCATTAATTATGACCCCTAAAACCTTTTTGCTCGATACCCGATTTATTATCTGATCTCCAATGACTATATGTGGAACATTGGGCATATAATTTATTTTTGGCCGAGATTCAACTATCATAAATTCTGTTTTTTTCTGTATTCAACGTCAATTTGTTGGCTAATAACCATTTATGTACGTTTTTGAGGTCGTATTTAGTTTGTGTTCAATGTCATTGGGTGAATTGCTACAGCATGATATGTTGGTATTGTCCACGAACATAGACGCTCGAGTTGTTTCTAAACAATTAGGCAGATCGTTTATGTAAATAAGAAATAGTAGAGGACCAAGGTTTGATCCCTGGGGAACCCCCACACCTGATCTTTTTAACATTTGAAATCGAGTCATTAATTTTGCACATTTGTTTCCTTTCGAGGATATATGATCTGAACCATTGTAAGGCTCTTCCTCTTATTCCATAGCGTTCTAATTTAGAGAGAAACATCTCATGGTCGACTGTGTCAAAAGCCTTTTTAAGATCTAAGAATAATATGCCGCTAATCAAACCTTGGTCCATGTTTACGGGTAATTGGTTTGTAGTTTCAAGAAGTGTAGTTTCTGTTGAATGTTGACTACGAAAACGTGACTGATGTGTTGAGATAATCGTATTTTGGTTAAGAAAGTTGTTTAGTTGATTGTAAACAATCTTTTCGAATGCTTTTGCCACGGCCAATATCACAGATATAGGTCTGTAGTTACTACAGTCAGATTTCTCACTTGTTTTGTAAATAGGGGTAACTTTGGCAAATTTTATTTCGTCTGGGAAAATTCCGGTACTAAATGATAGATTAAATATATAGGCAAGTGACTTGATAATTGTGTTTCCTGCGGCTTTTAAGAGTTTGTTCGAAATTTTGTCAAGACCAGATGACCAAGACCAGTTTACTTTGGCTTCCATTAATACTCTCTCTAGTTCCAAATAGGTTATGTTCTTGAATTCAAAGACCTTGGATGCAGGTGTTACACAGCTAAGGGGATCAAAATCAGTTGGTGTAATGTAATTCGCTAACCTTGGTCCTATTGTAGAAAAAAAGTTATTGAATTTGTTTGCTATGTTCGTGTCACCTGTTTACTTTACTGCTGTTCACTTTTACCTCATTAATTTGCGTGCATTTGGATTGCTTATTCAAAAGTTTGTTAATAATTTTCCAGCAATCCTTGGTATTATTACTATTTTCTAATTTTGATTTATAGTAAGCTTTTGCTTCCTTAATTACGTGATTTTCCTGATTTCTGCAACGTTTATACGATTCATGAAATGTTGCAGATTTAAAGGAGCAGTGTCACGGTTCTACTGCGCATCCAAAATATGCGCGAACTTGAAAAACTGTCTGCCAACAATTAATCAAATTAGGAGTGAAATACGATATACTATTTATAATCCCTTCGTTATGCAGAACATCCTTGCTTTGTTTTAAAAATTGAAGACTGCTGCATCTTTTCCAATCATGTAGCATTAATTTTAAACGTTTATTTGAGCTGTTTATTTTGGCCAATCAGCACCGTGACACTGCCCCTTTAAGAATAATTGCTTTTTTCTTTAGATAATGTCTATGGTAACTCGTAGTTTTGATTTCATTAGTTAGCCATGGTTTGTATTCGCTTTTGACTTTTCGTTGTCTGACTGGTGCATGAAGATCAGCAATTTCAAGGAAATTTCTTTCCAAGTTTGCCATGCTGTGTTTGGGCCTGTATAGCTTGGAAATTAACTAAACGCACTACTTAAATCATGTTGAAATTGAGCTGCATTAAAATGTTTAAATTGTCTTGTTTCGACAATTTTTGGCTTCGCTTTTGGGATGCTAATTTTTCTGCATATAAAAACTAAGCTATGATCACTTATTCCCAAGTGTATCACCCCAGCATTTACAGTCTTGGTATCATCTATTTTTGTTAGAATTAAGTCCAACAAAGTTTTGGTGGTAATGGTAACCCTTGTCGGACACTGTATATGCTATTGTAATTGATAAACATCCATTAGGTCATTAAGTTTCCTAATGTGAGTATTTTTCTCAGTGGCTAAAAGGTTGCAGTTTAGGTCGCCTGTTATAATAAGTTCCTTGTTTTCATCATCTGCTTTTTGTAAGAAATTTTCAAATTTGTCAAATAGTTCTATGCTTGAGTTTGACAGGCGATACCAAGTCGACACTAGCATGGGTTTATTTTTTGGTTTGTTGATTTCAAGGCCAATTGCTTCCTATGTCTGTGTCAGTTGATAATAAATCATCTTGCACAGTGTGAGGAATTGTATTTCGTAAGTAAATTCCAACACCTCCCCAGTTTCGATTTCTATCTTTTCTTACTATGTCAAAGCCCGGGATCTTAACTTCGTAATTGTGTATATAGCCGTCAAGTCTTGTTTCATTAATACTTAGTAAATCGAAGCTTACCTCATGCATGAAAATTCTTAGCTCATCTATATGTTTTGGAAGACTTGTAATATTTAGATGGTCAATTTTAAATCCTTTTAACTTTGGATAAGGATCATCAAGTTTTACTGTATCATTTGTAGAATTAATACTGGCATTATCAGAGCTGAGTGCTGGAATTTACTTGCACAGTTAATCCATATTGTTACTTACCATAATGTTTGATATGCTTATTCAATTAATTGAAAGATGGTATAACAAGCATACAAATACATCGGAATCGCCTGACAGTAAGGTAATTGTGGTAGGGTCAGTTTGGTGACATAAAAATCCTGTATGTGAAACATCATCCGATCATCTGCTTCTTCGTGCGTGCAATCCAGACGAGGAAATGAAACAAGCCACAACTTTGGAGATATACCAAGATATAGTGCTTTATTCCCTTTGTAATTGGTAGTAAGCTACTCAACATAGAAAGCCTGGAAAGCTGTTTTGCTGACAGAAGAAGTCCAAAAGTTTTCTAATACAACTGGAACTTTCTGATTCGGTGATATAACATCAAGCACAACCATTTGTTTAGATTTCCCTCTTCCTTTCCACATTCTTGATGCTGTCTTCTTTATAAGTATCGAAAACAATGTGGATCTCTTCACAGTTGCATGTGGTATTGGTGATCATAGCAGTCAAGGCAACGGCAAGATCGTGGAATGTCTTCACAGGTGGTTCAAGTTTCTTCAAGGGGACTTTTCTAACCTAAGCCATAAAATTGATTATATACGCATTGGTTGATGGAGTTGTTTCTTGCTCTTTGGGATTGATGTGTGGACACAACTTTAATAACTTAGACCCAAGTTGACATTTGGTGCACTTCCTCAAAAACTATCTTTGTCAACCAAAATGAAAGCTGAACTAGTAATCTCATGCAGGAGTAACTCTTCAACGGTAAAACCACGGTGACTTGCATATTCTACACACATCAGGGCCTTGATTGTTTCTTCCTTGATGTCCAGTTTGGAAGTCAAACGTGATGCTTTCCTTGAGGTCTTCAACTTGATTCTGCTAATGGTTGAATGGATAGATGTTGTCTTGCTTCTTAATCGATCTTTGTTAAACTTAGCATAGGTTCCTTCTTTAATGCAACATAATAACATAGCCACGTTCACTTCCATCAAGATTTCCTGTTACCATGTTCTTAAGTTTGTCCTGATCTAGAATTGAAGAACATACTTTTTGAAGATATGTATCTTTCCTGAACCAATGCAGAGATCTTTGTTGCAGTACTCTGGTTAAAGTCGTGACAATCCTTCGACATGTTGCATCTTTAGAAGATGAACATACTGGTCTTTCTTGTGTTTCATGATGTCCCACAAAGCCACTGCAGTCGTCTTCCTTTCTGGTCACCCCAATTATGCCACCACTAATTTTTGCCGGCCAGTTGTAACACTGTTCCAGAGCTTGGTCAAATGGAACTCCACTTCCTTTCTTGTTACCATTCATAACAAATCCACCGTCCATGTATGATTTGTAGAGGAGAAGAAACTTATCTTTCAGTTGATAGCAGTCCTGTAGAAACATTGGTGTCCATCTACAGTAGTTTGTTCTGCCAAAGAAGAAAGACAGTGAAGTTGCTCTCTCGACAGCACTAAGGTACAATGTCCAATCTCCAGAACACATGGAATTTGTAAAGTCTCTTGCTATTGGGTAAAGGTTGGAGACATATGTGTTCCAAAAAGCAAAAGACTTGGATTTCGAAGGCATTTCTTTTAGGTATAGGTCAAAGTTTTCTTCTGTGGCTTTAACTCGTTCTTGCGTGGCATTCCATATTTCACCACCAATGTTAATGGATTGACTGACAATCAACCACAAATCCCTCAACTTCCATTTCTTTCTCGGGATTTCTCGATAAACAACCTTGTCAGCCCATAACCCACTGTAAGAATCACCTTCTGTTTCAAGGCATCTTGAAAGTTGATCATGGTGGTTAGTATTGCATCGTATGTGGTAGCTGGATATGGAAGGATTGGAGTTAAAATTTTTGTGGTAGCATGGAAATTCAAAGTAGAGCTTCTCAAGGTTGTAAATCCAGGGACAACATAGCCCATCTCCACTGCCTTTCCATTTAAGCAGTTCACCAACCAAAGAAAGTAGTCCAAACGTATCGATTTCATTGACTATTTCCAAAGGCTGATTGATGAAACCAGGTCTGTTGTCGTTGAAGATGAATTAGTTCATGTTACAGAGGTGGATTCTGTTGTTGAGGTGCCAGTTGCAGGTGTTTTGCACGTTGAAGGTGTTTTGCACGTTGAAGGATAATTTCTTTCTGTAAAGGTTGAATACAGATTGAAAACGGACTCCGATACTTTGAAATTCTCTCCATGTTCTTTCATTGCTCTCATTCTGATAAGCTGTTGACAACTGACGTCAGATCTAAGCTTTACTGTAGTTCTGCTCTGAGGGAAAAAAGGTCGTGTCGATATATCACTTTTGTCTGATGGATTTTCTTTGCTTGTTGGGACATTCTGAAAAGGAACAAGAATGGTGATTTTTTTCTGTGTTGGTGTAATGTACTCAGGTGAATATGATGCTTGTGATGTTACTCTGAGTGTATATCCACACATCGAATGGTGTCGGAAATGTGTGGAATCTGTGCAGGCAAGTGTACTTTTGTTACGGTCAAAGTTATCCATAGCTGCGTTGAGTGGCCTTGATGATTCTAGGACAAGAGGAAGTGGTATGCTATTGTCCCCTGCCATGGATATTATCTGTTCTGTGATGTCAACATCAATTCTCTTAACCATGTTGTAGCTAACAGAAATACCATGGCAATTGAGGGCAGTTACAAGCTCTTTAGATCTTGTCAGACTCTGAACTCCTTCCACGACCATGACATGAAAATGGGTTGGTTCTTTTCCACCACTCATTATATAGTGCAGGATTTGGAAAACAACATCTCGTTTTACCTTTAGAGATCAGCTTCGACTTGAATAAAAAGGAACAGAATTCTTCCCATTTTTCTGGTGGGTTTTTCAGAAGTATGTCTGTTGATAGTTGAAGGTTTCTGGGTTCACAAAAGCTCTGTTCCAGGCCAAACTTGTAATCCTTTAGCTCTTGTGCAAGTTCAGTCGCAACTTGTTGGACAGGTGAAACTCACCTCATGGACTCCAACAAAGACGCAGGATTACTCTTCACAGAAAATACCATTTGAGAGCTTCTCTTATTGCTTGGGTATGAAAAACAGACAGTATCACCATACAATTCAATAATCAAATGTTTTACAGCTCTATTTGAAACTGGTACCAATAAATGTTCATTTAGTCACTGTCTGATAGAAGTTAGGGTGCATGCAGTTGTGGTAAAATCAAGTCCCAGAGCTAAAAACTGCTTCTTGAATGATTCGTCTCAAGCAGTTATGGCATCTTCTTCTTCAAGGTTTTCGAATATTTCTTCTATATCAGCATTATATTTGTTGAAATAATCTTTACAACAGTGGGCATGATAGTAGAGATCAGCCACAAAAACATCTTCGGGTTTGTGCATTGCCGCTGTGGCTGTATAAACATGATCTTTAAAAACCAGCGTTGAGTAATTTTTGATCCCTCGGCTTTTCACAAACTCTCAATAATTTGTGTATTTTCTTTTGTTAACGGTTTTACAATCTGAACCACAAATGACACAGATATTAATAACGGAACTTGATTTAAACTTTTGCTGCATTGCTCGTACTCGGAAGTGCTGCTGTCCATAGATATTGGTTCAAATGTCTCCAACTGATTTACAGAGTCTGGTGTTTTTCTTTTCTTTTCCATATCTCTAAAAACTCCCGTAGCATGATGATGAGTGGTATTTGATGAGCTCCTCTTCTTGTGCTGTTAGTTCTAGAACTCTATTTGATCGATTATCGCTACCTTGATCCTCTTTCGCAAGGGCAACGTTGATACATGTTCTGCCAGTTTCTCCACTTGATAAGTATTCACACAGAATCTTTGTCTGGCTAATATGCATTCATCCAGCTTGACTGATGATTTTTTGCATGTACCCGTGGGGCAAAGAGAGAGAGGTATCTCATCCTGAAATTAAATTATTTCTCAATGTATGGGATACCTATAAAGCTAAAGTTGCATATGTCTAGGAAATTGACGTTTTTGAGGCAAAAAATCTGTGGAGCCAAAAAAATTATTATAAGTAATAGCATGGCATTCAGGGCGATTAGTGATTAAATGTACCCGAAAGCCGAGAGAGGTTTAGTAATCTCGAGGCTTGAGGGACATTTCATCACTAATTGACCGTAATGCCATGCTATTACTTTGTGATATCATAGTTGCCGAGGGAATCGTGCGTGGTGTGTTGCCTGTTTTGAATGCTGTTTGATTGTCTTATGATTGTGGTACGAACACTTTTCATATATACTACGCACGCGCAGAAACACATATCCGTGTCCATTGGCATTTTAGGCATGCGCATAAACGGAATTCTCTCCGACGAGGTACAGCTCTCCAATCAGAGGTGATGAGGTACGCTTTTGTCTTCTAAATTTCCCTCATCAAGCATGTAGGGGAAAATTAGAACTAATTTTACCACAGGCAAAAGTTCTAATTTTGCCCGTGGTAAAATTAGTTCTAATTTTACTCCATGTTTTAGTACTGAGGTAAATTAGTGATTAATCGTACCTCGCGAAACAAAGGATTTCGAGGCAACTATGATATTATTATGAATAATCACCTTCACATAATTCTAAAAATTTCGGGTCCACAGAATTTTTTTTAATTGTCAAAATAATTGATTATACTAAGAGAAATAATTTTTTAAAATAAAATTTGAAGGTCACCAATGTTGTTTAAGAGTTAAATTACTTGCTATTATTATGAATAATCACCTTCACATAATTTTAAAAATTTCGAGTCCACAGAATTTTTTTTTAATTGTCAAAATAATTTATTATACTAAGAGAAATAATTTTTTAAAATTAAAATTTGGAGGTCACCAATGTCGTTTAAGAGTTAAATTACTTTAAAGCCAAAATTTCCACAATCTTGAAACGTCATAGTTGCCATAGCAATGGCAGTTGCAAGAGCGGATTTTCATATTTTTCTCTGGGGGGTGCAAAGAATTCAGGGGGGTGCAAAGAATTCAGGGGGTGGTGATGATCATGTGAATGTGTGAACGTGTGGTGCCGATGAGCAAGCTACGGGAATAATCTGGCCCTGGGGATTCAAGGTTGACCATGGATGTCAAACATATATATGTAGGTATATACAAAACAAATAAAAAGTCGAAAACTAATATGTCGTACTGTATTATTAAATGTCTAAGCACATGCTCAAAAGTTTTTAGAACAACATTAAATTTTACAACAACAAAAAACTCAAACATTAACTCTCCTGTTGGATTTTGCAGCCCAACTGTCTATCATTACTTCAGTATCTAGATGACTGGCCAGATCCTTGTTGAGAGATATACACAACAAGTCTCCCAAATGGCCTGCTGTGGTTTTGGATCTTAATTTTGAGCATACTCTATTCATTCCAGAGAATGATCTTTCAACAGTCGCTATTGATGTGGCAAAAGTGTTTTTCAGGTTTATTAACTTCATTAAGTTTTCAGATCTCTTCTGACTTACTGGGAGCCCCATTTCAAGGTCCATTTTTGCTCTAGAAATCTCAATCGTCAATATTGACCGGTTTACATTGAGACACTCAAAATGGTCAATCAAATAGTCCAAGGGTTCAATATCCAGATAGTTTTCTTTTGAGGCATCAAGGGTCTCGAACACGCTCATTATTTCAATGTTTTTATTGAAAACGCATCGCAAACTCTTCTTTGACTTTTTGTTGCATGTAACTGTTGAGATCTTCCATTGTTTTCTTGACAACATTATTAGCAGCAGTATTAGCAGCAACTGAACGAGTTACATGTATGGGAAGTTCGAATTCTAAGCTAAGCGGGATCTTTTCAGAGTAAATCTTTGGTTCGTTACATAACTTATCATTGTCTATCATAGAAATCAATTGCTTGGTTCTTTCAATCCCATACTGCACAATTTATTTCTTCACTTTGCAGTTATTTTGACAAGTAGAACATTTCTACCAGATATGCTCTCAATGTAATGAGAGCTATAATATACTTTCCTGAGATCAGTTTGTGGTAAAATACACTGACTTGTTCAACATGCTTTGAGTCACGAACATCTGGACTTTTGGCGACTTTAACGAGGGTAGCCAAAATTACTTGAGGTTTATCAGTCATTAGATCTATGGCTTCAAATTTACAACCCCATCTGATCTCTATTTGTTGTACTAAGTGCTTTATCTGACTTTTGGGAAAAAGCTCTTGATGCACCGCTTCATAGGCCAGTCTTACTTTAGGTATGTCGAGAAACGAATATAGAGAGTTGAGTGTTTTCATGATGTCAACGGCCAAGTTGGAATCTTTAATCAAATCATTCACCATGAGATTTAGACAGTGTGCTGTACAATGGATATAAATTAGCCAGTGAAATTGTTGTGACTTTAATAATTCAGCAATGCCAGCAAACTTTCCCGACATGACACTGGCCCCATCTGCTCCCAATGAAACAACTATGGCTCCTTCAGAGTGATTTCATGAACAATTTCTTTTGTAAATGTCGAGATTCAATTTCTTTTGTAAATTTCGAGTTTTTGCATACCTACCAACTCTCACTGTTACCGCGTGTGTCTCACGCCTCAGCTCCATTTCTCACGCTCACACGCATGAAAGTTAAAATCTCATGCCTCATTGAAAATCTCACGCCTCATTAAGAATTTCACGCCTTATTAACGATTTCACACCTTCTAGTCTTACTCAAACTTTACTATTGCTACAATATATCGCAATCAGTCATCAGATTTCGAGGATAATACACAAATGAAATTATGTAATAATTTAATTAATATTATAACGCTCAAATACCTTTAATATTTGAACTCTGATATTCGATCATGCAAATAATTATGCAAATAATTATGCAAATAAATATGCAAATAATTATGCAAATAATTGATGCGGAGCCTGGGAAGTTTACAAATTCAAAATGTCAGACTCAACCTCAGACTCGGATGATACAACAACAGCAACATATTTGTCAGATAGCAATGATCTTGATGGCAGTTCGAATCCTAAAAAGGCAAAAGTGATGAAAGAAAAATTTCCTTTCATCGACAAAGTATCAGATGATATTTACAGCTTTTACTGCAACATTTGTAAACGAAGTGTGAAATGCAGTCATATGGGTATAACCAACATTGAAAAACATGTTGGCAATCAAATGCACATTGCTAATGTGAAAGCCGCTCGCGGTCAGCGTACAATCAACTTCCCCAGGAATGACAGCCCATTAATTGAGAAGGTATGTAAAATAATATAAATGTTAAACAACAGCGGTAAGCGGATTGGCCTGTAACATACGACCACTGACATATATACACTGGACTGAGTTCTCCAATCCAAAGGTGTCCAAACAAAAGATGATGAAAGTTGACGTATGCAACCTCATGGTTGTTTGAGCACTCTGGCCCCATGACACTCTGCGCATGTCTGGATGCGTTGATGGCCCGTGCTGTACCACATGCACTTGGGAGAGCAAGTTGCATGTATACAAATACGAAAGTCATCGCGTATCTAGATGTGTACCAAGCTGCACTGACGAGGCGTAGGAGAACATGCATGTCTACAGATTGTACTACATATACATATATATACATATATATATACATATAGGTCTCACCCGCAATATTACCGCATGGCAACACGAAAAGGCAGTTTGCGAGCCTGGTCAGCGATTCATCCCATGATTCTCAAAACCTACATGACGCGGACACTTTCCGCAGATAAAACTTAACGGAGTAATCAGTCCAGGTTAGTATATCACTATAGGTCAGTGCATACGACGCGCTAGTGACCGACGAATTTAGCGGTTCGTTCAATTAAAATTGTTTGTTTTAATTTAAATTCGTCTGTAGAGCTTTATGTGAAACAAGCCTTAATCACTTAAATGCTTTTCTATGTAATATTTCTGATGACGTCATACATGTTGAAATTAAATAAATGTCTCTTCTGCTTGCAGACTACTCGTGCAGAGGTCAAGATTGCAACAATGCTGGTGAAGCATAATATTCCACTCGCCGTGGTGGACGAACTCACTCCACTTTTTCAGGATGTGTTCTCTGATAGAACTTTTCATCAAGGAGAACAAAAACAACATGTATAATAAATGGTGCTGTCACTCCACATTTCCAAAGTATCCTGGTAGATAAGATGAAAAATGGACCATTTGCCATAGCCACAGATGGATCAGGTGACTCAGCCCCTGAAAAGATGAACCCCCTAACAGTGCGCATATTTGATATTAACCGTGGGATGGTATGCACACAGTTCTTAGACATGTGCATGTCTTCTTCATCAACCGCAGAGGGTATATTTGCCAAGATGCAAGGTGTCATGCAGAAGCATCAAATATCCTGGGATAATTGTGTTGGAGTTGGTGTTGACAACACCTCAGTTAATATGGGTTGTAACAATTCCATCAAGACAAGGGTTCTCCAACAAAACGGAGCCATCTACATTATGGGCTGCCCATGTCACATAGTTCACAATACTGCAGCAGAAGCGTGTGAAACTGTAAGTATAGTATGTTAAATTGTGACCGCTCAGTTGGTTTAGCATCTGACTATGAAGCGGGAGGTCATGGGTTCAAATCCAGGCCGGACCAACACAAACAGTCTTAAAATAATTGAGGAAGAAGGTCCTGCCATTGCTCTTAGACCTTCAATTATTCTCGAGCAAGGACGTTAAACCGTAGGTTAAGCCTTTCTACCGAAATGTAACTATTTCTCTTTTATAAAGGTTTCAAAATTTAATGTTGAAGATCTTGTGATAGACATCTTCTTTTGGTTTGACAAAAGTACGAAAAGAAAGGCATGTCTGAGTGAATATTGCAGTTTTTGTGACATCGACTACAGACAGATTGTGAAACATGTGAACACCAGATGGCTTAGCTTAGACCGAGCGGTTGGTCGTGTACTACTACAGTATGATGCTCTTAAGAGCTACTTTTTGTCTGAAGGTTTGTCTTTTCTCCTTCAGTTTTGACATTTTAACTTAATTTTCCTTACACTGTTTAATATAACGAAACTCATCCTGCTCTGTATTTTTATGTTTTTTATACAGAGGACAATTCAGCTCGGTTCACTAGGCTGCATACTTTATTTGAGAAACCAATGACAGAAGTGTACCTACTATTCTATCAATCAGCACTACAAACCTTCATCCACTTCAACTTGTTTCTGCAGAGAGAGGATCCAGTTATTCCTGTTATTGACGATCAAATGAGTGCCTTCCTACGCAAACTAGCTTCCAAGTTTGTTATTGTGCAAGAAATTAGGAATGTGAACGGGAATTTCAGAGCAATGGATTTCAAAAATCAGGACAACCAACTTTCTGGTATACAGGGTGTATCAAAATAAACGCAATTCATCTTTTGTGCTTAATAACTTTCGAAATACTATTTCTAGTTAAATGCTTTTAGGCTTACTTTAAAGCCTGTTCTTTTCTCTTTCAAACAAACTATTATCCTTGTCTCCAATGCTAGTAATAATTGCACATTTTTAGTTGCTGTTTAATTATGCAAGTTTACTATGTTATTGTTTAGTCGGTTTAAATGTTAGAATTTTCTTCTTTAAACTTTAATGTTGTCGTCACTACATCTGGAAAATCACGTAAGAACAAATTAAAAGTATTTTAAAAGAGACCAGGTTGTTTGAAAATCCTGAACAAATGCTAAAAATCATAGAATCAAAACATTCTGGTGTCTGAGCCAGAGTGTCAACGAATTGCGATGTAATGTAAACAGAAATTATAGCAAGCTGATGTCAGTCAGCTTAGATGGTCCAAGCCAAAATTATAACGCATTTGGAGTTTCAAACTGTGTTAAATATAGTGGAAGAAAAGCCGTAATTATACTTATTGTTACAATCCCATTTATTAAAATGCAACATTGTTTTGTTTTAATGAAAAAATCAGTTATTTTCATGAGAACGATTTGTTATTCCATCTCAATTTTTTTAATCTCCAATCGCAATAACGTAAAGTATTATTAGCCGCGAACCAA